TGTGTGGATAAGAAATGTGATGTATATAAAATAGAGGCAGAGATTTATGTTAAAAATGGCAGGCAGCACAAAGGTTGCTTGTCTCAAATAGGTATTTTGTGCATTCATGCACCTCATTTCAGCTTTGGAGATTTATTAGTTTGTTTTTTTAAAAATAATTCACATTAGCTCGTTCAGTCTCTTTCACCCACTATACAAATTCTGTTTGGTACCACACGGTTCAGCATAGATGTTGCCAACTACTGATTTATAAAGAGGAGGGACCAATATGCTTCTAGCAGAATGTATTACAATCTGAATTCTTTTAGTTTATAAAGAGAAGAGGAGTAATTTTGGATTCACTTGTCAACTGAACATAAAATACTGATTCTATCTTGAGGGAAATGTAGCTCTGCTTACAGTGGTAACTACTTATTCGCTCAGTCAGAAATATAAAGCCAACTTTTAAAAATGATATCCAATAAATGTAGACTGCATCTGAATTTTATTTTCTTTAAAATAGCAAATATTTCTAGATTTCACTGTAATAGCACCCAGAGAGATGGTGCTGGTGTTAGTATGTGGTACAGTTGACCACAAATCAGTTAGTATGTGGTACAGTTGACCACAAATCAGCCACTTCTTAAATGAATTTGCAGTCCACTGAAGAATCCAGTCCACTATTTTAACTTTTAACTTTTAATAAAGGCTTGCTAATGGATGCCCAAATAACATCCATGGCAATTTTCACCAACTTCAATAGGTACTGCAGCTTTAGCTCTTCTCGAAGAAACATGATCTTGCTTTGGTGAATCATGCCATGATAACATTTTACATGGGGTTGTCTTTGGAAACTGGCAGCTCGTTGAAAATATAGTTGCTACCATATTTATTTGGTGATTTAAGCATCTGTACTGGTTTTTGGTTTGTTTATGGGCATAATTAAACCCCTAAATCAGGGATGAGAAACCAGCTCTCTAGATGTTGCTGAACTCCCAACTGTCATCAGTCCCCGCCAGCATGGACAGTGGTCAGGGATGATAGGAGTTGTAGTCCAACGGGATCTGGAAGACCAAAGGTTTCTCACTGCTTCCCTAAATGGTCTGGGATATTGGTATTGTCTGCTTCCAATGAACCTCCAAATAGTTAGGATCTTTGGAGCCTCTGCTTTGAACATCACTGCCTTCAAAGATGAAGGGCATGGCTATCTAGGACAATTCTTTCTCTGGGTGGTGCCCTAACTGTGAAACCCCCTCCCCAAAATAATTGGCCATGCATTCATGCACTAGATTAAAAGTTTGTGTCCTCCCACTTAATAACTTTAGTTTTTTTGCATCTCAGTTAATGGCCAGTGCATAATTGTCGATGTGATATTTGATTTAATGTTTTATTTTGTAACTTGTTGTGGAAATCTTACAGGCAGAATATAAGATAAAATATAGGCAGATATGTCATGGATATATTTATTTAAAGATTAGAGATGACCTAGTTCTGACTTTACAGCAGCCAAACACCAGTACAAAGAGAGTTTTAGAATTGATTGAGACATTTGGTCAAGTTGCAGGATTTAAATTGAATAAACAAAAAACTAAAGTGCTGGAGAAAAACTTAACAAATGAGGAGAAAGAGACATTTCAGAATGAAACAGGTTTGGAGATAGCAAAAAAGGTGAAGTACTTGGGGTGAACTTGACAGCGAAAAATGTGAACTTATTTAAGGACAATTATGATAAATGTTGGACAGAAGTTAAGAAAGATTTAGACATATGGTCAAGGCTGAAACTTTCCTTGTTAGGCAGAATTGCTGTTATTAAAATGAATGTATTGCCTAGAATGTTATTCCTGTTTCAGACATTACAAATAATAGACAAGATGGACTGTTTCAAGAGGTGGCAGAAAGACATATCGAAATTTGTTTGGCAGGGCAAAAAGCCAAGAATAAAATTTAAGACATTAACAGATGCAAAAGATAGAGGAGGTTTTGCCCTGCCGGACTTAAGACTTTACTATGAATCAGCAGCGTTTTGCTGGCTGAAAGACTGGCTGCTCCTCGAGAATACAGACATTCTGGATTTGGAAGGGTTTGATAACAGATTTGGTTGGCATGCATATATATGGTATGACAAGGTAAAAGTACACAAAGGCTTTAAGAACCATATGGTGAGGAAAGCTCTGTATAATGTCTGGATAAGGTATAAAGATTTGTTTGAAAGCAAAACCCCTAGGTGGCTGTCACCAATGGAGGCAAATGAGGTGAAAAAACTGAATATGGGTTCTAATTGGCCTAAATATTTTGAAATGATAGAACAAGATGGTGAAAAAGTAAAATTGCAGAGTTTCGAGAATCTGAAGTTTAAGGTGAGAGATTGGTTACATTATCGACAGATAAATGAAGTATTTAAACAGGACAGAAAGAAAGGCTTCCAAGTGGAAAAGTCAAAACTAGAAACAGAACTGTTAGAACCCAATACTAAAAACTTGTCAAGAATGTATAACTTGCTGCTGAAATGGAATACTCAAGATGAAATGGTGAAATCTAGCATGATCAAATGGGCACAGGATATAGGGCATGATATTGAGTTTGCTGACTGGGAGCAGTTATGGACCACTGGTGTTAAATTTACGGCATGTAATGCCTTAAGAGAAAACATTATGAAAATGATCTACAGGTGGTACATGACTCCGGCTAAGTTAGCAAAGATTTATCATTTGCCCAATAACAAGTGTTGGAAGTGTAATGAAACGGAGGGAACCTTTTATCACCTTTGGTGGACCTGCCCGAAGATTAAGGCTTTCTGGGAAATGATCTATAATGAAATTTAAAAAAGTTCTGAAGAGAACCTTTAATAAAAAGCCAGAAGCCTTTCTCCTGGGTATGGTAGGCCAAATGGTGCCAAAGAAGGATAGGACATTTTTTATGTATGCTACAACAGCAGCAAGAATTCTTCTAGCAAAGTATTGGAAGACACAAGATCTACCCACGTTGGAAGAATGGCAGACGAAGGTGATCGATTATATGGGACTGGCAGAGATGACTGGCAGAATCCGAGATCGGGGGAAAGAGGCGGTGGATGAAGACTGGAACAAATTTAAAACTTATCTTAAAAACTGTTGTAATTTGGAAAATTAGAAGACCAGGGTAATAAGAGATAAAGAACTACAGTTGTTTTATTATTTTATGGAAGATAAATTTATGAAACAGAAATAAGTTAAATACGAAAGGGTTGCTGGAGAATCTTGAAATGTGAATGCAGAAAAGGGGTGGTATGGGGAAGTCGTTTTTGGTGTTTGCTTATGTTTTCTATTATGTTTTCTCTTTTATTTATGGAAAATTAATAAAAATTTATTTAAAAAAAAAAAGATTAGTCGACTATGTGATGATGTTGGCTAATGGGCATTTATGTCTGCTCACCTTCAATGTTCTAGAATGGCAGACATGCAGGTGCTACTGAATTTAGTATTCCCCCTCCACACACACACACACACACACACACACACCCCAAATAGAATACCTAGGACTTAGTAAATGTAGGTTGTCTTGCTTCAGAGCTGCCTTTGTGATTACATAAAGAGGTCATGCAAGTATATGCCAGGATCTCATCTAATGTGCTGACAGAAAGCCAATTAATTCTCAGCCAGGGGATTTATTCCCCCCCCCCCCTTTGCTTTCTTTCTTTAATATAAGCAGCCTGACATTCGGGCCAATCTGTTAGTTGCTTTTGAAACTACTATTCAAATCTGGAAACTTCCTAATGTCCTTGGAACATGTTCACTGTTTCGCATCTGCTGTTCTTTAGCAGGTGTTCAGAAAAATACTACTTGCAGATTCTCAATCTGAGCACATTGCTTCTGTTCACAGTTATGATTTTCTCTTTTAAAAAAGAAATACAGTTTTAAGTAGGTTGTTTTGAAATGTGCTAAAATTGAGTTAACTCAAGGTGTGCTTTAAATCTTTCCACTGAAGAGTCTCTTCTTTCTTTTTTTAGGAACAGTATTACAACATTTGGAGCACAGGCTCAAATGAACACAATGTCTTAATAGCTGTCATTCTGCTTCTGAACTAAATATTTTATTATTGTAATTAAATACAGATAATCATTTCAGGTAGTCGTTCCTCCCTTATATTTATTGTGTTAACACTTTTGTATTATGCCAAACACACTGTACTAATAATTGTTGCATAATGTGATAGCAACAGATGTTTGCAGAATGCATTTGCAAAGAAGCATGTGGCAGCAGAGGCTATTGAAGTATTATTGTTTCCCAGCACTGGAAAATGGAGATGCTTAGGTTAGAATGTGGAACCACTTGCATACAAAACATTTATTATTATTCGATCCAATTTATGAAACACTTCCCATAAAACATCTTAAAGCAATTTCACAGTAAAAACACAACCAATGAAAACAATTCCATTATATAAAAACAATTAAGCAATTTCATATGTAATATTCATTTCCTATTCAATACAGGTATAGCCTAGGATATTGATCTCCTTTTGAAAGGCTTCGTTTTTAAAAAGGAAGGTCTTTAATTGGCACCAAAAAGGCAATAGAGACTGTGCCTGTTTGATGTATAACCGGAACGAGTTTCAAAGGTTAGGCGCCACCACACTGAAGAACAGATCTCTATATATTATAGAACAGATCTCTTGATCTGCAGGAAACCCTCATCTGTAGAAAGCAGTGACCAATTGGGTACGTAGAGGGTAGGATGCTCTTTTAGCCTTTGTGGTCCCAAGAGGTGTAGGACTTTGTACACCAGAACCAACACCTTGAACTTAGCAAATTGGCAGCCAGTGCAATTTTTACATGCACAAGTTTTCACTGTAAGTTGTTTTCCTAAACTCAATGAGGCTTAATCTGTAGTTGGTAACTGACAATATTTCAACCAAATAAAAAATAAAACCAACGTATATTGCATTTTCTCAGTCAGCATTAAATTATATCTAGTTAAACATAGCATGAATTGCTTGAAATTGAAAGCCTATTTAACTTCCCTTACATTGCACTTTGCTTCCAGCTTCCTGCAGACCTGACCAAGATGCATCTCACAGATGGTCAACATCCACAGGTGACACATGTCCCTTCAAGTCAGTCTGGTTGCAGCATTGCTAGTGATTCTGGGAGTAGCAGTTTATCTGACATCTACCAAGTAAGTCCAAAATTTGTTTTAACATTCTGTTTTCATAAAAAGAGGGAGGACCTAAATGGTTGAATCCCTGTATGCTAGCAGAAGCATAAGATTGCTATCATATAGTTTTAAAGTTTGACAGCACAATGAACAAAATACAGTGGTACCTCAGGTTAAGTACTTAATTTGTTCCGGAGGTCCGTACTAAACCTGAAACTGTTCTTAACCTGAAGCACCACTTTAGCTAATGGGGCCTCCTGCTGCTGCTGTGCCGCCGTAGCACAATTTCTGTTCTCATCCTGAAGCAAAGTTCTTAACCCGAGGTAATATTTCTGGGTTAGCGGAGTCTGTAACTGAAGCGTATGTAACCTGAAGCGTATGTAACCCGAGGTACCACTGTAATATGTTGGGTTCAGTAAGACCAGAGGAATATTAAGTTTTGATTTGGAAGATAATGATGTTATTTGTTTCAAGTTAAAATCTTACTGAAATAATAATAAAATCAGTGTTTGTGATAATAGGTAGTTATTGAAGTGATACCTGGCTATTGTAACCAATGGAGGTTTTCCCCCCATGATGCCTAAAGAAGCAATGTATCAACTGAGATTTAGGATACAATCAGAGGTGTTTTGGTGTCCTGAGTCCCAAGCCACTGAACAATCACTAGGCTCAGCAGCAACTGAAAAGGAGGGCAGTGCTCTTAATGATATGTGTGTGTGTTGAAGTCAACTTAAGCAAATGGCAGATTAGAGTGAGTTTGGCTTAATTAATTAATTATTGTCAACTGTTTGACAATAATAGATTGGGTAAAAGCTGGGTTGCTTCCAACATTAGGCCTATTCAGAGTAGACTCCCTGGAATAAATTAATATGGGTAACTTAAATGATCTAGGTTCAGTTCTTCTACACTAACTTTGTTGGATACAACCCTTTATATTTTACATTAGTCTCATTAAATGTGCATATAGAGCTGTTTGCGAAATAGGAAGGAAACAGTGCTTAAACAATATAAATAGACTTAAGTATGTGTTTCTAGTTTGATGTAGGCACACTTTGTATCATTGGGTTATTGAGAGTATTTTATACAGAGCTTCAAGCTTCTGCATTGCTAGGGGAACAAATGACATGAACCCTGCTAAACTCTTCGGCCTCCTTTTCTTCTTCTTTCGGTTGGCCGGGGGGGCGTGGCTTTTGGCTATTTGAACCCATGTGTCTTTATTCAACTTAGGGGGGGAGGCCTTGGGGGTCTTGACACGCAACTTAAGGCTGCCTTATAATGAAACTTGTGTCTCACTAAAGAGTTATGAGATTTCGAGGCAGAAATTATAGTCTGCCAACGATTTGAATGCCATTCCCGTTTGGCCGATTTCTGGGCCTGTTTGTATGCTTTTTTAGCCAGGGAATAAGATGGAGGTAAAGCCGGAGCGCCGGAAAGTTTATAGTCATTGTATATTGTGTGAAGATGGAGTCTGGCTAGTTTGCAAGCCGAGTTGAACCAAGGGGCGCCAAATTTAAAATAGTCTTTTTTAACTCCATAGGTAGGAGAAGTAAAAAAGCGAGTTAAAACTTCTATCAGGCAAGAAAAAGAGTTCAAACAGGTAATAGGATCACGTGGGACTATTCCTACGTCCGGCTGATCACCAGAAAACTTTTCTCTGATAAAATCCATATATCTATGAGCGAGGGCAGGGGACCATCTAGTCCCCTTTACTTTAGTGGACGACTCCACAGTCACCGGGATTGGGTGGAAGCGGTCGAGCAACTGCCAGTCAACACATAACTTGGTTGTCAGGGGAAGATGGTCACTAAATTGGGCATTATCAATTTTAAAGGAGGTGACATTCAAAAATAGATCCCGGGAAACCAAAACATAGTCGAGAACACTGTTGGATTTTAACCCCAGGTGGGTGAACTCTCCTGGTATGTCTGGAGGACACCTGCCGTTTAATATTATTAAATTGAGGCGTAGAGTCATCTGATAAAGCATCACTCCTGCCTTGTTGACTTTTACATCCTTTGATATTCTAGTGGGGGTGTATGCTAGATCGTAAGTTTGAGCGCCAGGGTCAGTCCACCACTTAGACTTTTTAAGAGCCTCCCAATTTGAGGCTATCCGAGCGTTAAAATCGCCTCCAGTAATGGAGGGGACATTGGGATATTTAAGATAGCAAGAAAGTAAAAAATCCTCTAGGGATTCCCATCTAGAAGTAAGATCCGCTGCTAACCCTCCCGGAGGGAAATAGACATTTGTAACCACTAAAGAGAAGTTACCACCAGAGATCAGTCCGGTAATAGCATAAGGCGGAAATGCATGCACTAGTGAAAGTTTAGCCCAAAGTTTAAGGGAGATACCAATTGTAAGGCCACCTTTAGGGCGGCCACCATTCATTGACGGGCTAGCAGGCAGACATATAAACTCAAAGCCATTTAACTCAATTTCCTCCACCCAAGTTTCTTGTAATAGTATAATAATGAATTAATATATTTTTGGAATTCTGGATCTAATTTTTTACTTTTCCATCCAGCAATGTTCCAACTTAATATTGAAGGCTGGGGCTTCCCCGTACCTCCAATTGACTGTCATTCGGAAAATTGGCTCAACTTTAATACGGGAAGAGGGGAGCCAATAAAGAAATCAGTTATCTTTACCTCTCGTAAAGGCTGAGTGGGATTTACAAGGTCATCTGACTGTTGAGCTTGGCCACTCGATCTACTAGGAGTAGGACCTTGAACAGGGGCGGACCCCTTTTCCAAAAGAGTTTGGTGGGCCACCCGGGGTGGACCAGCTATCTCGTCAGAAGTTTGGTCTCTCTGTAGCCTGCTAGTCTTTTGAGCTACATGATTTATGTGGCCTGTTGGGTCTTCAATCAGTTCCGTCACTGATCTTGCTGTTGAATCCATGATACTCCGCAAGGAGGGATGAGGCTGGGTGGGAGGACTATTTGGGGAGGTTGGCGAAGGCACCTCTTCTCTTGATTGGTCAGTGCTATAAGAAGGTTCCAGGTCTGGCATCGAAGAATGTGTAGAAGGGGATTTTTCCTGTTGTGTGCTGCTTTCTTCAGGTATGTTTTTCGATGGACGGTCATGCAAATCTATTAAGAGCACAGAGGATTGTTCTGCTTGGAGGGGAGGACTGGTTGTTGCTTCTTGGGGTTGTATCTTATCCTCCATTGCCGACATGCATTTAGCATTAGATATTGAGAGATCCATATGATCTGGTTCTTCTAGAGAGACATATTCACTGTACGTGTGTATTCTGGTGTTGAGCTTCCTAATAAGTTGGGATTTAAGCGATTCCAGTCTTTTAATAATTTCTTTTTGTAACCCATGTGTCTTTATTCAACTTAGGGGGGGGAGGCCTTGGGGGTCTTGACACGCAACTTAAGGCTGTCTTATAATGAAACTTGTGTCTCACTAAAGAGCTTGTGGTACAAAAAAAATTTGTGAAAGATTTGGATCAAAATTCCTATGACTACAGGGAAGATTATTTGAATTCAAGAATCAGACAACAATATATAGTAGGACAGCTATATCTCAGTGGTAGAGCAATTGCTTTGTATGACAAAAGCCCCAGATTCAACCTGCCGCATCTCCAAGTTCATCTGGAAAACACCCCTGTTTTAAACCCTGGAAAGGTTTAAAACAGTGCTGAGACAGTGCTGAGCTGGATAGACTAGCGGTTTTACTCTTTGTAAGGCAGATTCCTATTTTCCTATATCTGTTCCTGCTTAATTCTCTCTGTGGATTCAGACAACTGCTTAAAAGTGAACTATGTGGTGGCTCCAAATATATAGAAAGCCAGGCATCTATACCTTACGGCCATGCAGTAAGCCCAGAATAATTAGTCTCCTGCCCGGAACATCAGCTTCTAGACATTCATGGTGGGAAAGACTGTAGAAGAGTCTATGTATGTGAGCTTTAAAAAAAAAAAGACAAAAGGGAAAAAAAGATTGCACAGCTGGGTTAAACATGTCAGATTCATTCATTTCTAACAGCTTGGGATATGTCCTGGAATATTTCCAGCCCCATGTTTCAGGCCCCATTCATGTAGTGGTGGATAGAAAATGACCAGAGTTTCCAACCAGAGTTTTCACAAGGCCAGCTGATGAGCAACAAATTGCCTTCCATTTGTGTTTCCCCTGAGGCCTTTTGGATGTGCTGTATTATTATTATTTTTATATAATAAAGTAGTTGTCAAAGTTAAGAGGCCTGATTAAGGCTGAAGTCCTATGCATACTTATCTAGCAGCAAGTCTACTATAATTGGTTGGATTTAAACAAGCATAGAACTAGGTGGTAAGGCAATATCCAGCAGATCACAATTCTTTCATAAATTACAGGGTAATTTCTCTATTAGTCTGAACACAATCCAGCCAAGGTTTAAGGAAAAGTGGTGGGCAGGAAAAGCAATAGATGTGGGAAAGATATGTTATTCCTCCTTGCTACTTCTTGCTCCTAATCACTTGTTCCTGTTTGGTTCTTGTTACGCACATGTGCATTTAACATTTAGCTCCACCCTTCTTCCAAATTAATATTGTGGAATAAGTCACACAACTTCTTTGATATATGCTGGATTCTATAAAAAGCAACTTAATTATTTCACTTCTGTTTAGTCTGTATCTAAATACATCTTGGAGGTTATATTCATGATTGATCCACTATAGGTTAATAATTAATGTTCCCTAAAGTACATTAAGTGACAGTGGATGACCTTGGCATAATTGATATGCTTTAATTGTTTTGTCGTCATCTACTACTTCTACTGTAGATTTTTCTTAAGCAGTGCACAATGATAGACTGAGTTTTAAAAAGTAATGTTAAATGAGGCTTATTCCATCCAAAGATACATAAAATCAATTAACAGAGTGTTTCAGAATATCAAGAAGTCCATCTGTAGTCTCTACAGATTGAGTGCTAACATTCCAAAGTCTACATATGCAGGATGCATATATTCACATCGATTATTATAACTTTTATCTGATATCCTTGATATTGAAGCTGACACTTTATGCAATCTCTGTGTGGTTGGGGGATCAGCTGTTAAAGTAGTGGTTCTGTCACCTTACATGAGCTGCTGTTAAGGCTGACTGTGAAAGAAGTCTGTGAATGTAACCACATATCTCTCTTTTGAATAGATCCAGGACCTCAGTTTTAAAGTCCAAGGTGTAACATCTCTTGGGTCTATGATTTACTTACAGATGTGAAAAAACTGACCTATGCACTGCTTACTTGAACTGAATGTGGCACAGAGTGAATGTTTTTACATACACAATAAATTATGTGTAGGGTTGAGATCTTTTACAAATGTTAATTTGACAGCATAATCCTTGCAGCAAACATTTTAAATAAATATTATCAGTACTGTTTCAGAAAACGTTCTTACTTTCTTAGCTCATAATCAATGTGTCTTCCTTCTATTTCATATTTACAACAGCAGAACTGGAATGTTTTTATTGCTTTCCATCTGCTGTATAGGTTGATAATCATGTAACTGAATCTCTTTCTGTTGTCATGTAGTAAGCACATTTGTTTCCATATTTATTTGCCCTCTTTAAATTGCTTAGGGCATTTGCCCTATAACCATATGTTAACAAAATTGATCTGCAACTGGATTTCATCATAGCTAATGGGACAAATACAGTATTTGTTCTGTCCATGCTAATCACTGCAGCTACTGCTTTGTGTGAATTTGAGACTCTGATCCTTTGATTATTTTTTCTGCATCAAAATTATCTATCATGAAATTACTAGACGAAAATATGTAAGTTTCGTGGAACACTGAAATAGGATGTGGTGTAAATAGGTGTAAATAGATTCCTTTGTGTATCTTCTCCCACAGATATTAAAATAAATATTGTACTTGGGACTCCAAGTGATCTCTCAGTTGCCTCCATCTTCTTTGGTTCAATACTACTGATGCTCTAAGACTGGATCCCTGAATATCCATTTATATTTTCTGAATGTTTCTTCTTTCCCTGAAGAAGAGACTATTCCTTTAATATATAGATCAGGGATGGGGAGTTAGATCCAGCTGTACAGTTGAATCCAGAAGTAGCCAACCTGCTGTAGACCACTTTGACAGGTGGGCGGAGGGCACCTTTCAATCACCAGAGAACATATAACATCAGATTACTTAAACTTTAAACTATATCTGTAGAGAAATTTGAAGTTCAGTGTGCTTAGTCAGCAGCTTTTGAAAGTGGTTAGATACACATGAGAGCAAACAGGAGCTCCCAAGGGTATTTTGTTCTATCACTCCTGAAAGTGGTGTGGCAGGGTAATATTCCTTTGCAGTTGTGGCTTGAATTCAGCACAGTTTGAAATTACGTCTTTACCTGTCTTGTTCCTGATGTCATATGATGGACTGGTGGGCATGGCTTGGAATAAGCAGCCAAGTGGGCCAAATGGGGGAGCCTAATGGGGCCAAATTGGAGAAGACCTCTTTGTTCAAGAGGTTAATAAACTACCTAAGTAATTAAAATAAATTCTGTGGGTCTTATTCATTGTGGGTCTGCTAGAAGCCAGTATAAGAAATTATCACTAGCATAACATAACTTCCTCCCTCTCTTCCCCCTACCCAGTGTTTCCCTGCACCATCCCCAAATCTGCTTTGGAGAGTCAGGACATCATGCAGAGGAGAGGGGTGATGGTTTCCTTGGGCAAGCAGAAATATTTGTGCTGACAGAGCTATCTCTGCAGATATATTGAATACAGCTTTAACTAATTAGGCCCATGGGCCAGAAGTTCGCTACAACTGATCTAGATATACAGAAATCATGAGTTGAGTTCCTTCTCCCAGAAATGTTGACTGTCCTTCACGAAGGCCATGCTTGGCAGTGAACTAAACCCTTTCCTCCACGCAACCCTCATGGTTTGTTCATCTAGACCTTGAGTAGCTCCCTGCACCCTCAGTGGATGAGCATGCTGAAAATTGGCCAACCTCCTGAGGGCTGCATATTGGTGATGGCTGTGGTCAAAGTGGCAAACACATGTTTTGCTGTGTAAACATACATACATACTCTCCAGAACACACATACAGACCCTCACACGCACTATACATTCTGACAGATGCAGAAACAGACACTGAGAAACACCAAAAATGCAAGTTCATATTCAGCAGTGCTCTCTCACTGTGTGTGTGTCTCCATGGAGTTGGAAAAAGCCCTCTTCTTACCCTACCAATCCACTCTTCTTCTTCTGGTGTGGGGCCATCAGAAGGAGCTCCTTTTCTTGAGGCTTTTTGCAAGACCATTTTGCAATAGTTCCAGAGGGAAAATAGAGGCTTTTCCAAAGTAAGAAGAGATGCCAAGTTTTGAAGAGGGGCTAGTGGGCTGACAGAGACCTTATTCAGATGATCTTTAATGTTACCTGAATTTACCTTTCAACTTTTGGTTGCTTTTACTGTTTCTGATTTAGTGTTCCATAAGTTAAATTGTACCTTTATTACAATATTATTTTAAAAATACAAGCTATAAACGGTGATTCTGCTTGACAAAACCATTTGTCAAAGGAAATGCTGCTGCATCGTACAAAGTGCTAGATTGTACAAATGCTAAATCTTTCTATTTTTAAACTGCCACTTGACCTTACTTGCCAGGAGTTTTCTATATATGTTAGCCATATAGGAATCAAATGAGCTGCTGCTTTGATAGACTGTTGAGAGTCTCTTGAAGGGCTGAGTTTTATGTTCCCCACATATTCAAAGAAACTGAACCTTTTAGAGAACAAGCTGGATCTGCTGAGGTTAGCTGACCTTGCCTAGCTTGAGTTTAAATCTACCGGCATCATATGACATGGCCTAGTTGCAGATAATAAATGCTTAAATCATTCTGTTTAAATGTACAATCACTCTTTTAGCCATCTTAACAATTTTTCCCTTTAGGATATAATATTATTGTTTATGTTAAATTGGTTATAGGGTAGAACTTGTCAGTTTTATTCTGACTTACTTTCTGCTGCAGACAGCACCAGCTTTATGGTCCTGAAAATCTGTTAATTTCTGTGTTCGTTATTGATGGAATTTAACATTTGGATTTCACAAATACCTATGCAAGTGGAATATTGTAGTCCTGCTCTACTGATTATCTCCAATCCCATTCCCCCCCAAAATCACAAGGGTCCATTAGTGACGAGTATAACTTGTTTGCCCACAGGGCAGCTGGAGGCTATCCACAGAGCTCTTCCAGGCTGTTCATTTGGCTGGTAGTTGATATTACCAGAACAAAGTGGATTTGTGTCAAAATTTATGTGCTTAATTTTCAGCAACTTAAAGAACTTACATTGATTTTATGTACAGGCTACCGAAAGTGAGATGGGAGATGTAGATCTAACTGGTCTCCCAGAAGCACCAGTTGATTCTGAAGACGATGAAGAAGAAGATGAAGACATTGACAGAACTTCAGATCCACTGCTGGGGAGAGATGTTGTACGGGAATGCCTTGAAAAGGAACCTGCTGACAAAACAGATGATGACATTGGTAAGACGTAAAAAGAAAGAAAGTACTTCTACATAGTTTCAACAGATTATCCACAATAATCTAGTAATTTGAAAGTTAATGACAAACTGATATAGTAGCGTATTTTACAGACACATGCCAATCCTTATGTAGCCAAAGTGGCACCATTGACATATATGAGAGAGATAGTAGCAGGCTTGGGAGAACCCTAAGGTTTGCAGAGGTACATTTCAAAACAAAACAAAAGAATGACCCCCTCCCACAAAAGAGCCCCAGCCGTTTTGGTTGACATTTGGAGAGGGAGAGAATGGAACTGAGAATCCTTGAAGAGAGCGTGTCTGTCTGGCTAAAACTCTGAACTGAAGCAGTTCACAATGCAACATTTTGTTGCAGGTCTCACTTACCCTATTTTTCGCCTCATAGGACGCACCTAGTTTTTCTGGGGGGGAAATAAAGAAATTTTTTTTTATTTCCCCCCCAGGTGCGGGGCTGGGGCGGGGGAAGCCCGAGCTTCCCCCGAACCTAGCCCCAGAACAGGCTGCTATCCGCAAGCTGTGGGAGAGTTGCACGAAGTTGCGCAGCTCTCCCACGGCTAGCGGAGCGCTGCGCGAAGCCCGAAGCTTGAGGCGTGCTGAGCTCAGCGCGCCCCAAGCTTCTGGGTGCCGGCAAGCTCTCCGCTAGCCGTGGGAGAGCTGTGTGACTTCGCACGGCTCTCCCACGGCTAGCGGAGTGCTGTGCGAAGCCCGAAGCTTGGGGCGTGCTGAGCTCAGCGCGCCCCAAGCTTCTGGGTGCAGGCAAGCTCTCCGCTAGCCGTCGGAGAGCTGCGTCTCCCACGGCTAGCGGATAGCTTCCTGAAGCCTGGAGAGCGAGAGGGGTCGGTGCGCACCGACCCCTCTCGCTCTCCAGGCTTCAGCGAAAGCCTGCACTCGCCCCATAGGACGCACATTTCCCCTTCATTTTTGGAGGGGGAAAAGTGTGTCCTATAGGAAGAAAAATACAGTATCTATTTACACACATTCCCTTTCTCTTTATCTATAGCTAACCTCATATATTGCATAAAATATATAGATTGTGTGTGAATGTATAGGCAGGGGAAGCAACCACCCACTAAATGTTATCAATTCCTATGCATATAGGACCCAAGCATCTTGCTGCACTTCCAAGTGTGCAGATTGGGCCATTCTAACACTGGACTGGTATTTCTTACTTTCCTCCTTGTGTACTATTAACATGGGGTTGGATCCAAATAACTATGAGTAATAGAACAATAGTTGCTGGCATAGTTTTGCAAAGTCTTTCACAAGAGTTTGCATAATGCTAAAATAGCTCTATAGCAGTTCTCATGCTTCTGCTTTCATAATAAGTTTCACTTTTTCTCATTCAAAAGACCCATTTTTGAGTAGAAGATGCCTTTGCATGCTGAAGGTCCTCTTTGATTCCAACTCATTGTAACCACTCTTATTAACTAACATAAATTGATGAGTGACACAAATACAGATTGAAATCCATTATTGATATATTAAATACTACCAACCTGCATGGTAGTGAAACATAAGTAAATGTTGCCTTGCTTTGTTTCTAACATATATTTATTTTTGTTCTTATAGAACAATTACTGGAATTCATGCACCAGCTTCCAGCATTTGCAAACATGACTATGTCTGTAAGGAGAGAACTCTGCTCAGTGATGATATTTGAAGTTGTAGAACAAGCAGGAGCCATCATTCTTAATGATGGGCAAGAAGTAAGTACTGAATAATGCATGCCGTGATCATGTTGCTATGTGTTCATCAAACACCTATAATATATATTTTTTTACCATGCAGATAAGGGTGAAATGTTTTCAGTTTTACAGCATATGTAGCAGTGCATAACTCCCCAGTGTCACTGCATATTATCAAAAGCTCCAAAAACATTTCACAGGGGTTTTTTATGACCTACTGCTAGCTTATTTCAAATGTCAAACCATGTTTCTATCCCTTAGATATAGGCCTGGTTTGTACATCATGGTAACGCAAACTATGGCTTAGTGAAACTTTGCAAACGTGGGCTCCCAGAGAGGTGATTGCAGCTGTTTTGTTCCTCCCTGGACTTTTTTATTCCTGGATCACAATGATTTGGATCTGGGCTCATGGTTAAGTTTTCTTCTCACTGGCCATGAGTTTGTAACTAAGATGTGCCATGCGAACCAAGCCATAGTTTCTCAAATGCACCTGATGAATGTTTTGAACTCAAGCAACAATATCACATCCTGAATCTTGCATTAGAATGACAATCCTAATTAAGGATTACTGTCCAAATATCTCATTCATCTCTGTGTTTCTTCCTGATCTGGTCATGGAAGATGGGTACCGGTTGTTAACATTACTACTAAATTAATCATTTTTATTGTTACCTCAATGGTTATATTGCTGTTGCAGAGGCATACTAAGCATCCAGTGAGCCTTCTGTTTAGCTTATTGTTGATACAGTTGGATGCTTAAGATAATTGAAATGCTTTTATTGGATTTTCTTTCTAGCTTGATTCTTGGTATGTTATTTTAAATGGCACTGTGGAAATCAGCCATCGAGATGGGAAAACTGAAAGTCTCTGTATGGGAAATAGTTTTGGAATTACTCCCTCTCTGGAAAAGCAATATATGAATGGTGTAGTTCGGACCAAAGTAGATGACTGCCAGGTAAGATAACTTCATAGTAAAACATTCTTCCATTTTCTCATTAAAAATTCTATTTAATTAATCATCCCAGAAATAAAATAGTGCAATTTTGGCTAATGGTAACCACTTACAGCTTTCTTGCTCACAGCATAGGTTATTCAGCAAACAAGAACTACTGCTTTCCCTACTTATATATCAAAGTCTGCTGAAACGGGCTCAGGACAATTTTACTTTTTGAATTCAAGTTCTCATCTAGACTTCTTATCTATATGTATCAGTTGTAGTAATCTCTGAAGGTATTACAAAAATAAATAAATTATGAGGTTGAACAAGATGGAAACAGATTGATTTCTAATTACATTTTGCCATAATTATGTTATATGTGTCTAGGCTTGACTGATGCATTTAAAAAACAACAACTGTTTGCTTGTGTATTTATACCCCTCTGTTATTTTGGATAGTTTGTATGTATAGCCCAGCAGGATTATTGGAGAATTCTGAACCATGTTGAAAAAAATACACACAAGGTTGAAGAAGAAGGAGAAATTGTTATGGTGAAAGAGCACAGAGAGCTGGACCGCAGTGGAACCAGGAAAGGACACATTGTCATTAAGGTGATCAAAAACATAATCTTACAAAGAAGTTGTTTTATTATATAGCATTTTTCAGTTCCATAACAAAGTGATCTAGTTTCTCATCTTCATCGAAGTTCTCTTGTTATGCAGTCAAATGGCTATATATTTTGGAAATAATATGCCTCTGGGCAATTAGACATCACTCAACAATATAGTCTTTACAGACATAGATCCAAGTTGTAATGCTGTATTGGTATGCAGGAAGTATTATGAAAATAAATGTGTGTCTAGGATGAAAGTTAGGAATTGGATTTATGAATATGGCTGGGTGGTGATATTACAAAATGGTATGTTGTTTTTGTGGAATTATTTTATTAACTGTCATCTCTTGTTTTTAAGGCAACACCTGAACGCCTGATTACACATTTAATAGAAGAACATTCTATTGTGGATCCAACATACATTGAAGACTTTCTCTTAACATACAGAACATTTTTGGCAAGCCCCCTGGAAGTTGGGGATAAACTGTTGGAATGGTTTCAAGTAGACAGTCTCAGGGACAAGGTTAGTTTCTAGATGAGAGATAGCCAAACCCTGATTGGTATTTTTCTTGTACTGGAAGATAGGTCGGTGGCCTATCCACGCCAGCACCAAGTTCTCACAGTGGCCAACTGGATGCTTGTGTGAAGCCCACACAACTGGCATTCAGATGCAGAACATAGCTCTTATGGCTAGTATCCTTTGATAGTCTCCTCCTTGAATTTGTCCAGTCCTCTTTAAAGCCCCCAAGTTGGTGGTCATTACTGCCTCACCCCCGTGGGGGTGAATTCCATATTTTAATTGTGTTCAATACCCTGAATCTTTCAACATTCAGGTTCAGGTGTTATGGCAGAGGGAGAAAAGCTTCTCTATCCACTTTCTTCATGCTGTGCATGATTTTATAAACATCTATTGTATTACCTCTTGCTTGCCTTTTTTTTCTATTTTAAGAAGTCCCAAATGCTGTAACCATAAGGGAGCTGCCCCATCTCCTTGATCATTTTGGTTAACTATTTCTCAACTTTCCGCCCTAACTGTACAATATCCTTTTTGAGGTGAGGCAGCCAGAACTGTACCTAGTATTCCAAATGTGGTCTCAACATAGATTTGTGTAATGGCATTGTGACATTGACAGTTTTATTTTTGGTTCCTTTCCTAAGGATCCATGTCATAGAATTTGCCATCTTCACAGCTGCCTCACAGTGGGTCACTCTTCTTTATGAAGTCTTATCTGAACTTCTTGGTGTGGTGACTTACAGTACTGTGAAACACAGAGAACTTAGAAATCATCTGAAAAATAATGTATTCACTATATAAAAATTGTAGTAATAATAAAGCATGTACAATGTTTTAAATTCGGAGAATGCTGAGAACAGGCAATATTCCTAAATATTTTTGGGCTTGCAGTTGGTAGAAGTTTCTATTGCCTAATAAAAGTCTCTGCCATCATATACCAGAGCTGGGGGATGGGGAAAACATGCAAGAAATAAACAGATTTTTATGCTGTATTTTGAACTTTTATTCTTGCTTCATATTTATGCCTAGGTATTTCAATTCACACCCATGAACCAGTCACTGTTTTAATTTTCAGCTAAGAGATATCCCAAGTAAAATGATTATCGCTAAAAAAAATATATAGTCATAATTAGTATGACCTCAGAAGTTGTGTATCATTATACGTTTACACATATAAAGGCATTGCCCTCAGAACAGGAAGTAACATTTTATGCGGTTAGAGAACTTGGATAGATCTCTTTGAAAAACATTTTTGTTTTAAACTGACAAGGTATCTGTCAGACTGCCAGTTGTGCAGTAATTTTATAGCCCAATTGGCTACTTTGTCAAAAAAATGAAGATGGAAATTCTAGCTTTATTAGTGTAAGTTTCATAGAAGCAGCCATTGCAAATGACAAATATTTTGCAAGGGCAGCAACTTTGAAATACTGATTCATAAGAAAACCATGGAAGAGAGATAGTACTCCAGGTGTTGAGTTGTAGGCCTGTTCTCTATAGTAACAAAGATAGTCATTTTATTTTTTTTTTAAAAAATGTATAAAATCATAGACAAATTGGCTCATAGTGTGGAAAGGTATATAGTTGGTACAAAAGCTACTTGACTAGTTGTTAGTGCCAAAACTATATTAAGAATAGCAACCTAATTTCCTCTTACAAATAAAACTTGTATTAACTTCACATATGTACTTGTTCTCAGGTTACCCGAGTTGTACTCTTGTGGGTGAACAACCATTTTAATGATTTTGAGGGAGATCCAGCCATGACACGTTTTTTGGAAGAATTTGAAAAAAACTTGGAAAATGCGGTAGGAACCTAAATAAATTGAGTTTTGTACTGCATCATGCATTTTTAAGAGCAGCTCTTACTACAGCAAAAACATTTGTAGAAGGTTTGTTTTTTTTTTTAAAAAAATATTTATTAGATTTTTATTGATACAGCAAGAAAAGAAAAAAAAAGGTAAACACAAATACCGAATTACACACAGGAATAACAATAAACACCAAATTTTCTTAACAAACAATAAAACATAAATTGGTCTTAACACTAAAGACCCGACCTCCCATCTATTCCTTATTTCAATTTCCTATTACTTATTGCCAATACACACTTTTATCATAATTTAACTTTTTCTTAATATATCTTAATTCTTATATCTACCTTGCAACTAGGGGACACAGGTGGCGCTGTGGGTTAAAGCCTCAGCACCTAGGACTTGCCAATCGAAAGGTCGGCGGTTCGAATCCCTGCGGCGGGGTGCGCTCCCGTCTTTCAGTCCCAGCGCCTGCCAACCTAGCAGTTCGAAAGCACCCCCGGGTGCAAGTAGATAAATAGGGACCGCTTACCAGCGGGAAGGTAAACGGTGTTCCGTGTGCTGCGCTGGCTCGCCAGATGCAGCTTGTCACGCTGGCCACGTGACCCGGAAGTGTCTTCGGACAGCACTGGCTCCCGGCCTATAGAGTGAGATGAGCGCACAACCCTAGAGTCTGTCAAGACTGGCCCGTACGGGCAGGGGTACCTTTACCTTTACCTACCTTGCAACTATTACTGAAGTTCCTCGAATACTGCAACCATTTGTAGAAGGTTTTAACTGAGCACTGCAAATTTCTTTCAAAGGGCTTTTTATTATAGAGATAATACAGATAATGCTGTTTCATGGCACAGTTATGGCAAATAATGGGTTGATGTGATTAGGTGGTGAGGTAGTTCTGTGTAATTTTACCATTACATGATTTGGTGTCACCTAATTCTAGATGGGAGATATTCATGTGTTTTACAATTTACAGAAAATGAAGGGGCACCTCAGATTACTAAACATTGCCTGTGCAGCCAAGGCAAAATGGAGACAAATCACATTGCAGAAGCCTTCTAGAGACTCCCCACTTTTCTTCAGCCTCCTTGGAGGAAGTGAAAAATGTTTTGGTATTTTTGTGGAGACAGTAGAACCAGGAAGCAAAGCAGCAGAAGCTGGGCTTAAACGCGGTGATCAGGTAAAGTAAAACCCGGTGTTTCATTTACAATCATATATCTGCTTTGGTTAAGTGAAGTATATTCAACCAAAGAAATTGACTTCAGATATTTGTTGTGTTGGGCTGGTTTAGAGATCTCGGCTAAAACCACACTTTTCATACCACATCCCTCTCATGTTCCTTGGTTTGTTTAATGATGGTTTGATCTGTTTTCTAAATTAATAGTTTTGCCTCCATAACGTGATAGCAATTCTTTCTGCCACGTTGTTTTGTAAAAATGCTGCTTTTGTAACTTCTGAGGCATTAAATAAGGTTGTTTCAAAACATATTTTTAGAACTGAGCTGAATTTCAAAAAAAGTGGATTAAGATTCCATGTTGGTAATACTCCATCTTTCTTTATAACAAATTCTCTTTTCCTGCATTATTTTAAAGGTAATGGAAGTAAATGGGCAAAACTTTGAGAATATTACATTTGCAAAAGCCACTGAAATCTTGAGAAACAATACTCATCTTTCCATCACTGTAAAAACAAATATTTTTGGTGAGTACCGTTGTATAAGCCATATAAATGATATCGCTTAGAGACATTGGCCAAAGAACTACTTTGAAAGTTTTCGTGAGTTCATGAGGTTTTTGAAAGTTATTTCCTTTAAAATCTAAGAACTGCATGCATACACACCCATTACATTCCCAAGCTGCTTTTGAAGCTCCCACCCACCCAGTTTTAAATTTCTTTTATACACCAAAGGGATGGTGGAGGAAGGTGCTGGTTAAGAAATACAGTAAGCCTGCCACTTACATGCATTTAACTTGTGTGCATCCAGTAGGCGTGTGGCAAAAAAAGAAGGAAAGGAAAGGAAAGGAAAGAAAAGAAAAGAAAAGGGGGGCAGAGCTCTGCAAAAAACAGCTTTAGCAGCCCCATTTGCCATTGAAACTAATGTGCTTTGGCTGTACTCAATTTTGGCTTTATGTGCAACCCCCACAACATAACTCTTGCATAAATTGCAGGCTTACTGTATGCTCAAATCACTCTTGGTGCACAGGACTAGTTACAGTTTTAGGACACTGTCCTTATCTTAAAGGTCTATACAAAATCCTGAATTTTGTCTACTGTGGCACTTCAAAAGTGATGACCTACATCTAGAAGTGACAGGCCATACAGTAAAGCTTCACATTTTAGTCCAACAGAAAATTTCCTAAGGGTGTTTGAACTTCTCTCTATAGGTGGTAACTATTACTTCCGCTTCTTTTGGACCTGATTCTCCCTTCTCTTCCCCTTCTATTTTGTCACAATCTTTATCCAAGTACAGTGGTACCTCGGGTTAAGAACTTAATTCGTTCTGGAGGTCCATTCTTAACCTGAAACTGTTCTTAACCTGAGGTACCACTTTAGCTAATGGGGCCTCCCGCTGCCGCCGTGCCGCCAGCATGCGATTTCTATTCTCATCCTGAGGTAAAGTTCTTAACCCAAGGTACTATTTCTGGGTTAGCGGAGTCTGTAACCTGAAGTGTATGTAGCCCGAGGTACCACTGTATGCTTTTCATATGTTTGATATCAACATAGAAGTCAAAATGTGTCACGTGTGCAAGCCACCTTCAAGGGAAAAAATTGTAATAGCGAAATATAGTTGACGTGATCATTGTGTTCTTCCTGCCCCCTCTGTTGCAGCCTTTGGAAAGCCTACTCCTGTAAGTCAGGGTATCCTTCGCAGTAGCATGGGATATGGTGCTGGAAATTGCTCTGGGAAGGACTAATCAGTGAAATATTGACACCCCCTGAATGAGTAGAAACCATAGTGAGATGAGATATATGAGATGTTTCTACAAAATGAATTGGTCTAAGTTTATTTTTTCAATTGTGCAGCTATGTAGATAGACAGATCCATCTATTGATGGATTCCAAGTTTCTTTTGTCGGCTTCAAGGTGCTTGCCTTGTTTGTTGCTTATGAAAAGCAGGAGTTTTATTTGCTGATTTAATGGATTTGTGTTTAACTCTTTCCCCCATATTCTATATTATCCAAAGCACCACCCAGACCCTACTGCTATATTTTAATCTCTTATTCAAATCTACACATATGTCATATAGCACAACTTGATTTTACATAGCTTGAGCTGTCCAAGAAGCAAAAACGTGAACGATCAATACTTAATTGCTTGTAGCATTTGCAGCAGGGAAAAAACATTTGAACTATAAATTATATGGTAAATGTAGTCTTAACTCTGCAACCTCAGATGCACAATAGAGGGAGCCTCTTAGATAAGTTAAGCCACATCTTTCATATTACTGTAGTCTGCTCTTACTCTGGTTTTCACACTAAAATAATTTTTAGGAGATAATGGCTGGGATCCAAGGGATCTTTTGCATCACATTCTCGCACACTCTTTGAAACATCATCCCTGAAGGTTGAGGATATTTTAGAGCCGCATTCTGTGAGGTGCAAGAGACTGCAAATCAGAATGGAAAGTTCAGCCTTTGCTTTTTTCTCAAACCTCTTTGGATCCTGGCCAGTATTTGATTACTAGTTATAAGTAATATATTTGAAGAAAGATATTGGATTAGGGCTGTATTGAAAAGTCTTTTAGGATAAAATGTTGTTGTCATGTATGAGAATTCATTGTGAAAACTATGTTGAAGCAACCAAACCAGCAACAAACCTTGCTACTTAAGTCGGGGGAATAGACAAGGAAGGGTGAAGAGCAGAGGAACTAAGGTCAGGTTCTGTCTAAATATGATAGGCTGCCTTAGTGGTCAACAGAATTACAAACCAGGTTTACCTGGGGATATTTGCTCTTCTTCAGATTGGCCTAGATTTTAGCATGGCACCACATGCAGACTGGCTCCCAGGTGGTTCAGCTTAGAGATGGCTATTCATTGATTTGTTATACATCATACATACCTCAAACTGACATTGACCAATCTACGTCTAAAAGCTTTTAGACGTAGATTGTGTATGGAGAAATATGATGATATCAGGAATGCATTTATAAAAATTATAAAACCTGTTAATAATTTTCTACTTGTTAGAATAACCATACTACTTATATAACCATATGATGTATTGTACCACAGTTTCAAGCACATTTTTCTTTTCTTTTGACTTTTCTCCACCTTTTCTCCACTTCATTTTCCTACTAAAATAATATTTCTCTATTGAAAATTTATGTTGTCAATAAAACAACTTTTTTTAAAAAAAACCTGACTTTGGCTCATACCAAAGCTTCTATAGAGTTTTGAATCCTAATGTTCTGTTTCATTTTTATGCATCTTAAGCTGTGCTCTCTCAAGGTAATATATATGCTTTAGGGTTTTGGCCATTTGCTGCAGGTTTGGATCCTTAAAAGCAAAATTATGATAGAATGGAACACATTTTTAAATGTTCCTTTTTAGGATTTAGCATAATCCTAATAATAAACAATAATAATACTGGGTGAATGAATGTGTAACGTTTTGACTTTCTTTTCTACAGTGTTCAAAGAGCTGCTTAGCAGGATAGGGCAGGAGAAGAATGGAGTTCCTCATATTCCAAAAATTGCAGAAAAGAAGAATAATCGCTATTCCATCCCAGATATTCCTGGAGATGTGGAACAGATGTTTCCGCGCGAGAAAGGAAACAAGAAAATAAAAGCAAACACTGTGTCTGGTGGAAGAAACAGAATAAAGAAAATTTTAGACAAGACGCGATTCAGCATCTTACCTCCGAAATTGTTCAGGTATGATAAAATACTTTCTCATAAACTAGGATTTTTCTACAACCCTTTCTATAAGTAGACAAGAAAAGACTATATTTCCTTCTTTCAGTTTCCTTCCTTTAAAGCTGCAGGCTGTGACAATCCCTCTCTTTTCCTTGCGGTGCACTAGGGAAGGCAAGTGGTATATGCCTTGATCTATGCTGCCTAATCCAAAGCTCCACAACTAAAAGTCTTTTCTGTTCATTTCAGCACCAAAGGCACTTCGACACAAGGGCTGTTTCCTTCTCTGTGCCCTATTCCTAGGCTAAGTTTTTGAGTACATCCCAATAGCCTTTTGCGGGAAGGCTCTTCCACTATTAGTGAATGGAGAATATCTGTTGGTTGGATTTGAGTATATTTATAATTTAAAAACTGCCCCAGAGCTTCCAGTTCCTTCTCACTCTCTGATTTCAAGCCACTCTCCTTTATGAAAAGCAAAAGCAAAGTAAAGTAAAGGTAAAGGTAAAGGTACCCCTGCCCGTATGGGCCAGTCTTGACAGACTCTAGGGTTGTGCGCCCATCTCACTCAAGAGGTCGGGGGCCAGTGCTGTCCGGAGACACTTCCGGGTCACGTGGCCAGCGTGACATCGCTGCTCTGGCGAGCCAGAGCCACACACGGAAATGCCGTTTACCTTCCCGCTAGAAAGCTATTTATCTACTTGCACTTTGACGTGCTTTCGAACTGCTAGGTTGACAGGCGCTGGGACCGAGCAACGGGAGCGCACCCCGCCGCGGGGATTCGAACCGCCGACCTTTTGATCGGCAAGTCCTAGGCGCTGAGGCTTTTACCCACAGCGCCACCCGCGTTCCCAAAAAGCAAAGTAGTCATTGCTTATTTCTCTCTTGTTGTTTAATCTCCCTTTATTTGCATACAGTCTTTTTTTTTTTTTTGCTAACTATAAATTGTATAAATTTGCACATATGCAAATTTGGGGGCGCGGGCTCCCACGGCTTGCGGAGATCTGCGCGAAGCCTGGAGAGCTAGAGGGGTCGGTGCGCACCAACCCCTCTCGCTCTCCAGGCTTCAGCGAAAGCCTGCATTCGCCCCATAGGACGCACACACATTTCCCCTTCATTTTTGGAGGGGAAAAAGTGCGTCCTATGGGGCAAAAAATATGGTATGTCCATTATTTGGCCTCTTTGGCTGTGCCTCCAAGGGGTGTGTCCACAGCAAATCAAACCTAGTGTTTCTTCATCTAAAGTAACCAACGGCTTAGTCAGCTAACCTGTCCTAGCACACCCAGGAATAGTTGGAGTTTAGATTGCTAGGCATGTTGAAATCCCACTAACAATAATATTAAGAAGATTGCTGATTTGTGAACTAGATTGTGCATCCCTTCATCATTCCCCCTTTTGTCTTTCTTGTCTAGGACAATTCCCAACCATTACTTGCATTATTCCTTGTTATTTTTTGTTAGTATCTGGAACATTTTGTAAACCAAGTTAAATAAGCATTCTGTGTTTCAGAAGAAGTAGTCTATTACTAGAGAGTCAGATAGAGCTTCTAGAGAAAGCTCCATCAGTTACAGACAGTGCTGAGACCTACAGTTTTTCTCACAGCAGTCATTCTCTATAGCTTTTTGCACATCAGTCTGTGAATAGCTACTCTCTGTGGCTTGGTGTTTCTTGACCTCAGTTATTTCCATTGCTCTATTAATGGATTGTGACTGACAGAATAATAATAATAATAAAACCACAGGCAGAAATAGGATGAACGACTCACTTGTCCCTACTGGAAACATACTTTTATTACCTGGTAGCACAACCCATGTATTGACCTTGGTTTTGGCACCTTTTTGAATCAAAAAAAGTAAGTCTAAAACCACAGTTGTATTATTGTGAAGTTTAATTATGAGATAGTTTTCTCTCTTGTGCCTCTGTGTAGTCACACATATGGGAATATGCATATACTTCCCCTTATGCATAGCCATATTGACTTTTGTTATGGTCTTTCAGTTTTTATTTATTTAATCAATTTAGTCAATATATGTCACATTCTTCCTCCCAAAGGAGCCCAAGTCACCAAACACATTACTTACAATATCATTAAAAACATCTTAGCTGAAACTGGACCTTTCAGAATTTGATTACTGGGACTAAACTCTGCTGAACACAACTTATCTTTTACTTTTGTACTCACTGCTCTCATGTTGCTACTGTTACCGTGTTGTTATTATGGTTCATTGTTTTTTAATTTACAAAAACTAAAGATAAAATTTAAAAATAATGAAAATAATAATGAGGGGGACAGATGCACCTCATCAGAGAGGGCATTCTGCAAATGGGTGGAAACCACTGCGGAGGACTTGTCATGGGTCACTGCCAACTGGGCAGTCCCCAATGGCAGCACCAACAAAGTCTCACCTGCTGATGGTACAGTCTGAGGTGGGTGATATAGGAGAAGATGCTCTTTTAGGAACCTGGGTTCTAATCCACTTAGGGTTTTGTATGCTAATACTTATACATTGAATTAGGCCCAGTAGCTCACTGGCAAGCCAGCAGCTTCAGGACTCAAGACCTATGGTCTCATCAGGCTGCCCCACTTACCAGCTTAGCAATTTCATTCTGTACTAGTTGCAGCCTCTGAACCATCTTCAAGGATAGCCCCATATATATCACATTATAGTAGCACAGAAGGCAGATCATGGACAACTATATCAATCCCAGGATGGTCATAGCTGATAAATCAGCCTAAACTCAGCATAAGCAATCCTAACCAAAGAAACAACTTGAGACTCTAGTGAGATCTCTAACGAGTCCAGGAGTATTCCCAAGTTATGAACCTGTTTTGAGAGTGGAGTCCCTCTCAGAACAGGCCTTGCATCTTTTTCAAAGACGCAGGAACCACTCACTCACAGCACATCCGTCTTATCAGGATTCAGCCTCAGTTTATTGTTCCCCATTCAGTCCATCACTAAGGAAGACTAAAGTAAGCCAGTCTCTCAGCAGAGCTGGTGGAATAGGCGCCATATTGCAAAATTCTGACATTCACTCTGAAGTCTATTGATTCTCCAGAGCCTTGTGAAGGCAGAGAAGAACTTAGGAGAAAATCTGTCCTCCGTCAGTGAATTTCCTTATTATGGAAATGAGCCAAATAGAACACAGTGGGCCAAAAGGCACCCTTCCCTTTTACAAGGAGTTCCTTGTGAGATGAGAGGACTTCAGATATCATTCTCTTCCTGAAAAAGCAAAACAGGAGGCCAGTAAAGGACAGACCAAGGCCCTGAAGCTCATCAGTCTGCATAGGAGAAACACAAACCAACAGTATAGCCATCTTCTTGACCTTCATGAGGTAATATGCATCAGATAATCAGATGCTGCAGAGAAAGAGAAGTGTTAGCAGGCTAGAAGGGGCACTAGTACAAGTGCTGTAACTGCTTCCAAGATACAGAACCTTCTGCATTAGCACTCTTAAATCTATGGATGTGCAGTGCATACTCTGAAAGGAGGTTTCGGTAAGCAGTTCAGTTTTACCTTGAGCCTTTGAGACACAGCAGCCTGTAAACAACAAGAAGAGCAGGTTATTATTTAAGATCTCATGCTTCCATTGTTAGTGAAAATTATACCTTGTTTTGCTTCATTTGTGTAGAATAACTATGCTTTTGTTTCATTTAAACACTGACACCTTCTAAAACTTCCTTGCAGTGATGGTAGTGTAAGCCAGTCACAGGACGACAGCATTGTGGGGACAAGGCAATGCAGACACAGTTTGGCAATTATGCCTATTCCTGGCACGCTCTCGTCCAGCAGTCCTGATCTCTTGCAGCCTACAACCAGCATGTTGGATTTTTCTAACCCTTCAGGTAAAAAGACCCTCAGTTGTTATCCGTTATGTTTCCCACTGTGTTTTTGTAAATAATCATTGACAATCCAATACGTGGTTGGCTACTTATGGAGGCAAGTTAAATGCAGTTGCCAGAATTTGTGACTCTGATGCACACCTCAGGAGCTGCTGGGTTAGTATTTTGGAGCCAGCCTTCTGAAAACTGTGTTGCTGCTGCTTCTTACCAGTATGGGTTGGGGTGGAACAGCAGTAAGGGCAGGGCAGCAGGGAGGGTTCTGTGGGTGCACAAAATCCAGCATTCCCATCTAAACACCTACATAGCCCCAACCTCATCACTACCCTGCCCCTCCTCTACACTGTTCCTGTAAGCAGCAGAAGCAATGCCACTGTCGGGACGATGGCTCCACCACACAGCCCTGCTATGCCATCCTGACACATCTATACAATTTGGGTTTGCCAGATTATTCTAGATACGTGTCTAGCAGTGTTAAAAGAATAAATGAAAAGAACAAAGAAGAAAACAATAGGTTTCTATATTCACAGAGGCTTCCTGTGCTCATTAGTGCTTTACACAGTACAGATTTGTTTCTAATGGGGCAAGTTAATGCATTTATCATCATGCTTTCATAGCTACTACATTTTTAGCCATATACTGTTTGAAGTGTTTAAAGAAAATGGAAGACTACGCCCCCAAACCTTTTATGCTGCCAGCAAGTATATCATCCCAGAGATACCTTTTCTGACACAAATGAGGTGCTATTGAGGAAGCCACCAATTTTACCTTTTGTAAAAGTCCACAAACTGGATTATAGGAGTGCTTCCCAAAAGTTTTGTCCTGCCTTCAACTACCAGGGGGAGATGTTGCCCAGCCTGATGACCTTGTAGTGCCAGTGGGAAACCGCTCTTCAGATAGGTACCAATAGTACTTTCTATCAGTGGAGAAATATCAGCTGGACTCCACCTACCAAAGTTAATTAATTGGCAGTGTGCATATCCAGACGCTATTGACCCATGATCATTGCTGACCTAAACACCTCTTCGTTCCTTACTGTGTCAATCTCTTTACAATCTCTTTACAATCTCTTTTGCCCCTTCCAGCTGATCGTGTTTCCCACCCTCCCACCCTTTAAGGTTTTCGTTCCTTGACCTTGCTATGGTCACTGTTGAGGGGATTGGTAGGAATTTTTCCACTTGGCAAATTGGCACCAGTCACTTGGTTTTCACCTACCTCATAGCAAATCGTCACAACTTTCTTGGTATTGGCAGTTAAGCATTGGTATAGTTCTGTAGATGGAAGAGGGGACGAAGCATCATCACCTGCCCCAAATATTGAAGGGTAGTCCGATGAAGGACTACCAGAGCTAGCAGGGCAGCAGTTGAAGAAGGAGCAAAAAGGGTTTTCTTGTGTGTGTCTTTGTGGCTGATTAGCAGTTCTCCCTGTGCAAAGGTCAGAGGGGGCAGGGTTTCTGTTGAGGCAGGTGATTAGCTGTGGGAGGAGCTTATCAGAGCTAGCAGGGCAGCGCCGCGCGCCGCTAGGCGCGCGCAGTTTGATCCATCTTTTAGATTTAGGGGAGCTAGTCTCAAACGTTTGTTGGGGGAGACCTAGGGTTTTTTTGTGTGGGGGGGGAGTTATTTGTCCTGTCTTCACACTTTTTATGATGGAGGACCGCTGTAGCCACCCCCAACGACACGTACTCAAGATGGAGGAGGAGGGAACAGCTGCAGTCGCCTGCGGTTCCTGCGCAATGTTTGCCATCTTGCCAAAGATTGCAGGCAGCTTTACCTGCAGCAATTGCATGTTGATTGCTCTCTTAAAAGACAAAGTCCAGCAACTGGAGGAACGTGTAGCTACGCTCCAAAGAATTAGAGAGCTGGAGCTCTTCTTGGAAGCAACAGAGCACACCGTCTCCACCAAGGAGGAGACAGGGGACTCCCCTGTGAAGGAGGCTAGCTCACCAACACAGGAGCCAGATATATGGAGAAACGTGACTCAAAGAAGTAGGAGGCCCAGGGTTCGCTCTGATTGTTTAGAAATACGCAATCGCTTTGAGGTCCTCTCCCCTAGCATGGAAGACGAAGAGCACACTCCATTTGAGGATCTCTCCCTCATTACAGTCGATCAGGTATATGAAGACGACCAGCAAAGTCAGTCCTCAGGGAATGTGCAGGCGACCTTGGAATGGACAGCTCATGGAAGAACCCCGACCAAACCTAAGAGGAGGCGTGTAGTGGTGATAGGGGATTCCCTACTGAGGGGAACAGAAGCAGTGATCTGTGGGCCTGACAAGATGTCTCGGGAAGTGTGCTGTCTCCCCGGGGCTAAGATCCAAGATGTAACTGAACGACTGCAAGGAATTATAAAACCCACTGACAAATACCCCTTCCTCTTGGTTCATGTGGGAACCAATGACACTGCAAGCAATAGCCTCCAGAAGATCAAAAGAGACTACGAGGCTCTCGGCAGGAAATTGAAGCAACTAAATGCACAAATTGTCATCTCATCTGTCCTCCCAGTTGAACGACGTGGCCCAGGGAGAGAGGGAAAAATAGTGGAAGTGAACAGCTGGCTTCGCAAATGGTGTAAACAGGAACGGTTTGGATTCTTAGATCACGGACTGCAGTTTCTTGAAGATGGACTTCTGGCAAGCGATGGGCTGCACCTCACAACGGTTGGGAGGAATGTTTTTGCCAAAAATCTCAGAAACCCCATCAGGAGGGCTTTAAACTGACTAATGTGGGGGAGGGAGACAATGCTCCTGAAGGTAGGAGTCTATCAATTGATGAAGATGATCATCCAAATGTCATAGACCAAATGGAGCAAACAGCATGCAGACCTAGTGGTGGGAGGAAAAAATCCTTAAATAAGAGACACGGGGGAATGATTAATGGACTTCAATGTCTGTACACTAATGCGCAAAGCATGGGAAATAAACAAGATGAGCTTGAGCTCTTGGTACAGCAAACTAAATATGACATAATAGGCATCACTGAAACCTGGTGGGATAAGTCCCATGATTGGAATGTAATAATGGAGGGATACAATCTATTTAAGAGAAACAGACCAGACAAGAAAGGGGGAGGAGTGGCGTTATATGTCAGGGATGTGTATACCTGTGAAGAGATCCAAGATTTAGAACCTCAAAGCCAAAGTGAGAGCATTTGGGTCAAAATTAAGGGAGAGAAGAATAACAGAGACCTCATTGTGGGAGTTTACTATAGATCCCCAAGCCAAACGGAGGACATAGATGATGCCTTCCTGGAACAGATGGCCAAGCATGCAAAAGGAAGGGAGATAGTAGTAATGGGGGACTTCAATTACCCGGATATTTGTTGGATGTCAAACTCAGCCAAGAGCATAAGGTCAAACAGATTCCTCACTGGCCTTGCAGACAACTTCATTGTCCAGAAAGTGGGAGAAGCAACAAGAGGAACAGCCATTTTAGATCTGGTCCTAACCAATGTTGATGACCTGGTTAGTGGGGTAGAAGTGGAAGGATCATTAGGCACGAGTGATCATGCTCTTCTGAAGTTTACTATACAGCGGAAAGGAGCAGCCAAGCATACTAGGACTCAATTTCTTGACTTTAAGAAAGCCGACTTCATAAAACTTAGGGAAGTGCTGGGTGAAATCCCATGGTCAGTAATACTAAAAGGAAAGGGAGTTCATGATGGCTGGGAGTTTGTTAAGAGGGAGATAGTAAAAGCACAACGTCAGGCAATACCAATGAGACGGAAACATGGAAGGTGCCTAAAGAAGCCAGGGTGGCTATCTAAAGAACTTTTAACTGAGTTAAGATTTAAAAAGGATGTGTACAAAAAATGGAAAAGGGGGGAAACCACCAAAGAGGAATTCAAACAAATAGCCAGCACGTGTAGACACAAAGTCAGGAAAGCTAAAGCACAGAATGAACTCAGGCTTGCTAGAGAGGTTAAAAGCAACAAAAAAGGCTTTTATGGGTATGTCCGTAGCAAAAGGAAGAACAAAGAAACAGTGGGGTCACTCAGAGGAGAAGATGGTGAAATGCAAACAGGGGACACAGAAAGGGCTGAACTCCTCAATGCCTTCTTTGCCTCAGTCTTCTCCGATAAAGAAAACAATGCCCAATCTGAAGAATTTGGAGCAAATGATTCAGCAAAGGAAACACAGCCCAGAATAACTAAGGAGATAGTACAAGAATACTTGGCTAGTTTAGATGTATTCAAGTCTCCAGGGCCAGATGAACTGCATCCAAGAGTATTAAAAGAACTGGCAGATGTGATCTCAGAACCACTGGCAGTCATCTTTGAGAATTCCTGGAGAACAGGCGAAGTCCCGGCAGATTGGAGGAGGGCAAATGTTGTCCCTATTTTCAAAAAGGGGAAAAGAGAGGACCCAAATAATTACCGCCCAGTCAGTCTGACATCAATACCAGGGAAGATTCTGGAGCAGATCATTAAGCAAACAGTCTGTGAGCACCTAGAAAGGAATGCTGTGATCACCAATAGTCAGCATGGATTTCTGAAAAATAAGTCATGTCAGACTAACCTGATCTCGTTTTTTGACAGAATTACAAGCCTGGTAGATGAAGGGAACGCAGTGGATGTAGCCTACCTTGATTTCAGCAAGGCATTTGACAAGGTGCCCCATGATATTCTTGTAAAGAAGCTGGTAAAATGCGGTCTTGACTATGCTACCACTCAGTGGATTTGTAACTGGCTGACTGACAGAACCCAAAGGGTGCTCATCAATGGTTCCTCTTCATCCTGGAGAAGAGTGACTAGTGGGGTGCCACAGGGTTCTGTCTTGGGCCCGGTCTTATTCAACATCTTTATCAACGACTTGGATGATGGACTCAAGGGCATCCTGATCAAATTTGCAGATGACACCAAACTGGGAGGGGTGGCTAACACCCCAGAGGACAGGATCACACTTCAAAACGACCTTGACAGTTTAGAGAACTGGGCAAAAACAAACAAGATGAATTTTAACAGGGAGAAATGTAAAGTATTGCACTTGGGCAAAAAAAATGAGAGGCACAAATACAAAATGGGGGACACCTGGCTTGAGAGCAGTACATGTGAAAAGGATCTAGGAGTCTTGGTTGACCACAAACTTGACATGAGCCAACAGTGTGACGCGGCAGCTAAAAAAGCCAATGCAATTCTAGGCTGCATCAATAGGAGTATAGCATCTAGATCAAGGGAAGTAATAGTGCCACTGTATTCTGCTCTGGTCAGACCTCACCTGGAGTACTGTGTCCAGTTCTGGGCACCACAATTCAAGAAGGACACTGACAAACTGGAACGTGTCCAGAGGAGGGCAACCAAAATGATCAAAGGCCTGGAAACGATGCCTTATGAGGAACGGCTAAGGGAGCTGGGCATGTTTAGCCTGGAGAAGAGGAGGTTAAGGGGTGATATGATAGCCATGTTCAAATATATAAAGGGATGTCACATAGAGGAGGGAGAAAGGTTGTTTTCTGCTGCTCCAGAGAAGCGGACACGGAGCAATGGATCCAAACTACAAGAAAGAAGATTCCACCTAAACATTAGGAAGAACTTCCTGACAGTAAGAGCTGTTCGACAGTGGAATTTGCTGCCAAGGAGTGTGGTGGAGTCTCCTTCTTTGGAGGTCTTTAAGCAGAGGCTTGACAACCATATGTCAGGAGTGCTCTGATGGTGTTTCCTGCTTGGCAGGGGGTTGGACTCGATGGCCCTTGTGGTCTCTTCCAACTCTATGATTCTATGATTCTATGATTCTTTACAAAACTTAGTGTGCGTCTTCTACTGTCACATCTTTTCACTGCAGTAATCTAAATCACACCTAGGCCTCTTAGAAACAAAACAAGAAAAGCTTTTCTTTGTTTTTATACCCAGATCACATTTTTAGCTTAATTATGCACTCTGACAACACATTGTGGCATAACTTTATGTTTATGTAACAGTTTATGTAGCAACTTCTGTTTACACTTGAAGAGATTTCTTTTCAATTATGTTAGCTGTGATTAGCTAATATTTCTCAGATGTAACAAGGAATCAGATTATTGGTATACAGTTTTTAATAAGAGGAAAATCAAAGTAACTTGTTTTAATATCCACACATATACAGTGTGTGACTAATGATGTCAGTGTAAAGTCTGGATCCTGACTTTCCCTCCTTCTTTTTATCCTGCAGCGGTTGGTTTTTACTGTAAGTATTCCAATCACTGGCAACCTGATGATTTTATAATGTGTTATTTTTTTAAAAAAATGTATTTTTGAAATTCTACTTTAAATAGTAACATTTTTTAAACAGTCAAAGTGGTGAAGCCATTTTTCAGAAGTATAGCTGAACCTGTTTTGTTTCAGTGTCTATAATCCTTCAGTGTCTAATCTTTCAACATATGTGTGAGTCAGACTATGTAATAATTCTTTGATCGCTGTGCAAGTATTAGCTTGCAACATACTCTAAGTTATTGCTCCTTTGAGGGTTAGAGATGGCTGACTTTTGTTCCTAAAGTTTCTCATAAATATAATGGCACTTTCCTATAAAATACCTACCTTGTCATGACAGTCACGTTTTGAGAAATGCAACTATGCAGGACAGAGATTAATTCAGTGGAGTACCAAAAGTACATGAAGTACGTGGCCTACATGGAGGTGCAAAAATTGTGCGGAGGAAGGGTGACTGTTGCAGATTTTTTGAAAATAGTTCTCCATGCCTGTCCATGCTATCTTTGCTGTTAGGATTGATAGAAATAACTCCATTAGAGCCATTGTGACTTAGTGGTAAGATTGCCAGACTAGGACCGAGGAGACCCCAAATTACACTTTCTAAGGTATCTTTGGAATGAAGAAGGTGTAGCAGTTATACTCCTGTTCTTCAGCCTTGGTGTTTTGTTTTGTTGTTTTGGAGGGGGGCAGTTGCAAAAGGTTACAGGACTTGCTATCTTATAGTAGGGTAGTTTTAGGGTGGTGAAAGTACAATTATAGCACAATCCTATACATGCCTTCTTGGATGTAAATACTACTGAGTTCAAATCATTAGAATGATTCAGAAATACTGCTTTTGTTGAGCACTTCAAACAGGAGAGAGAAAGAGGATGAATTTATAGGGCTTGTGCTTTTATAGCAAATTTGAATGCCAGCTGTTCGGAACTAATTACTTGTGTAACTGTCTGATTCAGACATGCAGCCAAAACATGTGGTTGAGTCTTTCCCATACTGTACCATTTCAGATTGCAGGTGGAAGATAGCAGATTTCAATGTTGCCCTATGCCAACCTTTGCCAGCCTGTTGTCCTCCAGATTTTGTGGACTACAACTCCTATCATCCCCAGTTGATAGGAGTTGTAGTCTAAAACAGATGAAGGGTACCAGGTTGACGACAGCTTGTCCTATGTAGTAGTAACAACAACAACAACAACAACAACAACTTTTTGCTCTTGGAAAGAGAAGAGAGTTGTCCTTGTCTTCTCTTGCTATGCTATTTTTGTTTTTCCAAGGACAGGGATACTACATATGTGGTTCTCTACCACCACCTGCACCACGAGCCATGTTTTATCTGCATGTTAAAATCAGATCTGTCTGACATTGAGTCACATCTGGCTCTGTTCTGAAAAGCCCATTTTATAAGTTTGTTAATTGACTTTGGTGATACAGGGCAACATGAAGAAAAGAAGCACGTGGTCATTTAAATTATATAGCACTCTGCACCCTATCAGCTGAATTTTCCAAACCAATTCAGCTTCACAAAGAGTAAATTGTCTATAAGAAAATGAATCAATAAACTAAACTTGAAGCTTAGAGCCTCATTGATTTATGATACACTTACTACTTGTCATAATCCACATCAATCGTCAAGTGCAGTTATTTTCTATGTAACGCTGAAGGTCCAGAACAAAGAGCTACCTATTTGGTCAGTGGGCACAGGGAGAATCAAAACCTTAAAAATAAATTTGTGGTTGTAGAAAGAAATAATATATTTTTTAAAGATACATGCAGTGTAAATTTTCACTGCTTTTGCTGAGCAAACAATAGTACACATATGCTTACATGAATCAGCCATTTATTGTGACAGAAAACAAAGCTATATATATATATATATATATAACACACCATTTTAAGGGAATAACTGTATACTTCTAATTTTTTTAACCTAGACATTCCAGATCAGGTTATAAGAGTTTTCAAAGCCGATCAACAGAGCTGTTACATTATCATAAGCAAAGACACTACAGCAAAAGAAGTCGTAAGCCATGCAGTCCACGAATTCAATTTGACAGGAGGCTCAGAGACCTATTCTCTTTGTGAGGTTTCTGTGAGTCCCGAAGGAGTTATCAAACAGAGAAGGCTTCCTGATCAGTTCTCAAAGTTAGCCGATCGGATTCAGCTGAATGGAAGGTAGGTATGCTTGCATCTTTAAGTAAAGCACAGAAGTAAGAAAATGGTAGAAAAATAAAATAAAAAGAGGACTCTCTTCCAATGAGAATAACACTACATTTACTTTCTCTAATGCTAGAAGAGCCTGTGGAGTATAGTGGTTGGATTAGTGTTGAGAGACCAGGGTTTTAATCCCTGCTAAGGCTGTGTGATAAATCGCATATAACATTGTGATAAGTGTTTCAACAAGGCAATATACCGGTGAACAAAAGATGGAACTTAACAGCTTCCCAGGGGGTAGCCCAGCTGAGCCAATACTTTACAGATAAAAGGTAAAGGGACCCCTGACCATTAGGTCCAGTTGTGACTGACTCTGGGGTTGCGGCGCTCATCTCGCTTTATTGGTCGAGGGAGCCGGTGTACAATTTCCGGGTAATGTGGCCAGCATGACTAAGCCGCTTCTGGCGAACCAGAGCAGCGCACGGAAATGCCGTTTACCTTCCCGCCAGAGTGGTACCTATTTATCTACTTGCACTTTGAAGTGGTTTCGAACTGCTAGGTTGGCAGGAGCAGGGACCAAGCAACGGGAGCTCACCCCATTGCGGGGATTCGAACCGCCAACCTTCTGATTGGCAAGTCCTAGGCTCTGTGGTTTAACCCACAGTGCCACCCGCGTCCCGTACAGATAGTTTTCAGATAAATTGCAGGCAGCTTGTCTCCTTTGTTTGTTCTCTCCCTCCTCCCTCCTAACCAATAAGAAATGACAATAAGCCCTCACACAAACCAGCAAACTCTTTAAGTGGAAATATATTGGTGAAACTGAAAGAGTTTGCTGGTTTGTGTGAAGGCTTATTGTCTTCTTACCAGTTCAGCTACTTATGCAGAGCCTACTAACAATTCAGGATGAACCTCACACAGCTAGAAAATCAAAGATCAAGCGGCAAAGTAAACAAAGAACACAAACAAAGAAATAGAAAGCACTTCTTTCTTCCCTCACACTCACCCCTGCCAGGGAAAAAATGGGGGAAAGAGTTTTTATTTTTATTTTCTGGTGGTGTTTATGTTTGTTGGTTTTCCCTAAATAGCTTTCATCCATATTAAAAAGGAAGGGTTTTTTATTATTATTTCAAGGAGACTATCTTTTTGCTTGCTTGCCCTCCCTCCTTCACTTTGATAAAAAGGGAACGATTGCTAGGATGAGGGCTTTTGGGGGGCCCTTCTCTCTGTGTATGTGTGTGTGGGGGGGTAATGGAGGGGAGAAGATTTAGCTGGCTACCTTTATGCTGAAATGGGAGTTTGGGTACTATGTGGGAACGATGGGGAGGGTGTTTTTTGGTAAGCAGTGCAAGTGAATGCGTTTCTACTCACAAGCAAGCCCTACTGAATTCCTTATATTTTAAGGCCCTCCACCGCCGCAGGGAGCCTTGTCAAGGCCCTCTGCTGCTGCAGGGAAGCGTGGCACACCCTCCACCATGGCGGGGAGGTAGGGTGGCACACTCTGTTGCCACAGGGAGGTGCAAGAAGGCCCTCTGCTACTGCAGGGAAGCTATGTTTAGCTATGTTGCTCCTTTTCTGAATTTGTATTAAAAGACATTTAATGTTTGTTTCTCTAACAATGCTTTTTAGGTATTACTTGAAAAATAATATGGAAACTGAGACTCTATGCTCAGATGAAGATGCTCAAGAATTGCTTAGAGAGAGCCAGATTTCCCTTTTACAGCTGAGCACCATTGAGGTAGCTACCCAGCTATCAATGAGAGACTTTGAGTTATTTCGGAACATTGAACCTACTGAATATATTGATGAACTATATAAACTTGAATCTAAAACGGGGAATGCTAATCTAAAGCAGTTTGAGGATGTTATGAATCAAGAGACATTTTGGGTTGCCACAGAAATTTTATCAGAGCCAAACCAGCTTAAAAGGATGAAGATCGTAAAACATTTCATAAAAATTGCTCTCCATTGTCGAGAGTGCAAGAATTTCAACTCTATGTTTGCTGTTATAAGGTAGGTTATTCTCTTTTGATAGATAGCAGAGAAGTAGAAAACTAGAATTAAAATGAAGTGCCTGATCATAGCCTTAATATCAGAACTTGAATAGTTATTGGCAGATCTGGGATGTGCTTGGTAACTTAATAGGTATGTCATAACATACTGATAGAAGTTTACTGAAAAAGAATGTACTTATGACTCTTTGGGGTTATTAGGTGGAAATGTGTTGTTTATAGACATGGACTCTTCATACATTGTACATTTTAGTTAAATGTACAATAACATCTTTAATTGCAGGAATATAATATTATTGATAAAATTTATTAACCAGGTTCCAGATAATCAGGCAACTAATTTTTCATGTGGACAAGCTAGCATACTTTGTACCCAACCTCATGGAAACCTTCACTTCAGAAAGCATTCTTTTATCCACACTATTTCACTTGTACCACAATATTTTTGTTTATGGTTTGGAGGAGGCTCCCTTCTGTAGCCTGGGATATTAATGTGGGTCAGGAGCATCCTCTTTTGAATAGGGTGTATGAATTTGTTTTTATTTGATAACTGGTAATGTGAGAGTTATTTCTTGCAGTGGTCTTAATCTGGCACCAGTAGCCCGACTTAGGGGTACATGGGAAAAGTTACCAAGCAAGTATGAAAAGCACCTACGAGATCTTCAAGACCTTTTTGATCCATCTAGAAACATGGCAAAGTATCGCAACATCCTTAGCAGTCAGAGCATGCAGCCTCCAATTATTCCACTTTTTCCTGTTGTCAAGAAGGATATTACATTTATGCATGAAGGTAATGCCACAGAGAAGTAATGAGCCAGCTTATTAAATTGCATATTAATACTTCATTGGTTTGCGCCAAGGGATCTGAGGTTTGCTGCCAAAGAGGACATGATTAGGGCTAAGATAAAATATACTATGGTGCACATAGAAAACTGTAAGCAGAGGGAGAGCATTTTACAAATGGGGAACCACTGCAGAAAAGTCCCATTCTCATGTTGCCACCCTTGGACTTCTCTTGGAGGAGGCAAATGAAGAAGGGCCTCAGATGATGATCTTGATGATCTCAGAGTCTAGGTAGGTTTATTATTATAGAGCCTCATGAGACACAATGCCTGCAATTCCTTATTTTTTATTGGCTTATAATGCTGATTATTTCTAGTAGCAAGCATCCAACAGAATCTGTCCTCTAGGAGTCACTGAAACCTTGGCCAAATGAACATAACACCAATTGACAGCATGTTATTAATGTGAGAGATGCCAGGTTCTTGGTCATGACAATTTAAAACCAGATGGTAGTAAAGTAAATACAGAGAGTGGTGGTGGGTAGATGTGTTTGATTGAATTCAGGGGTGGGAAACCTTCAGTTTGCAGGTCAATATTTGCCCATAATGCCCTTTTGCTTAAACCATGCCTATGTGTCAAACAGCTGACATCACTCAGTGAGCAGCAAGTTCAGTCCTGCTGGGTCCTGTGCGACGGCGCAATGGCACTTTCCCCCCTGGCGCCGTTAGCCTGCTCTCACTTAAATATAATGCACCAACCTCACAGAACACCAGTTCCACCAATTCCTACAAACTACCCCAGATTATCTTGTGGGGGACTTGTGTGAGGAAAAAATTAATAATTTGGAGTCTCAGGCAGGATTTGATCAAATAAACAAGAGAGCTTTTATTTAACAAAGGAAGTTTATGACACAAAATGGGTAAAACATAGGATACTTCAGATTATAATGCTGCTTAATACTTTGGTTCTTAAACAAGGTGGTGTTTTCTGTCAGTTACACACCCCTTTGACAACCCTTCTCCTGAGGTACTCCAAGTAACAGACCCGAAGGATCACCACACCCCTCTTAACTGGTTTGGGAATATTCTCTTTTTGTAGAATATTCCCCTCCTGACTGGTAGACTGTATTATCACAGCTTCTACTTCTCCTGGCTCAACCTCAGCCTCCTAGTTAATTCCTGGCCTAATTACCCTTACAGGACATCACACACTGTCCTTCACCCTAAACTCAGAGCCTCCGTTCTCTAGCTTTTGATATATTCCTCAGAGGGGATTTTTCTACCCAGAACCAACTTTCTCTCCTCTCACTCCCTATCCCCCACCCTATTCTCCCAACCCCTATCCCAACCTACCAAACTGTCTCTCCAAATCCTCTCCTTTTCAACCCCCTCACCTGGAGCCCTGGCCAATCAGAGGCTGCCATTCGGTAACCATTTGCTGGCAGGGAAAAAGAAAATGAAAACACTTGGGGACCCAAACTGCCCAGCAAAACAAACTTTTCCGTCACATCCTGCTTCACCAGCACATTCTGTGCAAACTGGACCCTCCATCACCCACATATTAACCTTTACAGTCACCTGATGCCATTATAACATCAGATGTTTGGCTATTAATCGCTGCAGTGAAGAAGGAAATTCAGCAGGTACAACATCACCCCGATCAACAAGCTACACACATCAAAATACCCACTTTATATAGCTGTTGCAGTATAGGGACCCTGCCTCCCTATATCTGTCACCCTAACTCTCAAAAACGATGAGAAAAATGAAAATTAACAGTAAAAAATTAACAGTACATACCCATATTTGGCTTAGCATTGGCTCCTGTGTATGAAAATAATTGAAAACTGTTGAAGATGAATTCTTTCCACTCTAAATTAAGAGGTAGAACCAATTTTTAAAGGGCAATAACCTTGTTGCTATCAGTTTCCCAACCCTTTTATCATTGGAAAATCAAAGCGAACACAGTCCAATTGTAACATTTTCTTTCTGCTGACAGCTGCCACTATAAAAACAACTGAGTGAGGGTAAAGTTAGCATTTTGACTGGCATCCATACTCTACCTTACATCTTCTTGTGGTTTTAATGACACTTGAATTTGAGACCTTTGACATCTGATGGTGGCTTGTGATATATGAGAGAAATAACATGTCAGTCTCTGAAGTGTTGTGAACCCTCTTAAGGTTTTCTTGCACATATTTTAATTGTATAGGAAATGATTCAAGGGTGGATGGCTTGGTAAATTTCGAGAAGCTCAGAATGATTGCCAAAGAGATTCGTCAAGTCATCAGAATGACTTCTGCTAATATGGATCCTGCAGTAATGTTCAGACAAAGGTATGGCATTTAAAATGGAAATTTGGGTGCAGGGAGGTGTTCTTGTGTGGAGGAAACAATATGTGTATGTTCACATGTTTGTTTTTTGTTTAATTTCATTGTTTGTTAACATTTATCATGGGAAAGTGAATATGAAACAAATGTAGATTAATGCTGATTGCAATGCTTAAGTGAAGGTTTACAAAAGTTTTTAAATAACATTTGGCGTACAGTATTTCAATATATGAAGTTTTTAGCTTAGGGCTCTTTCCATCTCACCCAGGATAAAGTATTATAATAGGAAAAACAAAGGAATATCTTAAGTCAAAGAGGTTAGGCAATTCAGAGTAATCATTGCCATTGAAAATGTAACCCAGTAAAATGGAACTTCTTATTAAAAATTCAGTTGTAATATGATCAGTGCCAAGACACAATAGATCATTAATTTGTACTGTCCTTGAGATCAGGTTGTAGGTTCGAAAGGGAGTGAGTGATGTGTGAAAAACAGCACATGCCAACCTAAGTGGAGGTTTCCTTCAAAATCCATGGTCTTTTAAACTCCCAACCCTTTGGTTCTCTGTGCTTGTGTATTCACTGCACATAGTAACAAATTCTGTCTCTATTCCACTGAAAATGTGTGTCACTGTTTTGAGAATTGTTTTACTTAATTGAAATTTTCATTTCTCTCTTTTCCTGTCTACATCCTCTTCCTTTCTGACTCTCAACTGTGATTTTCCCCCTTTGCTTTTCTTTTTAAATACATGCTTCATTGTATATGGCTCTTGCTTACAGGAAGAAGAGGTGGAGGAGTTTGGGGTAAGTGTAGAGATTAATGCAACTAAGACTCAAAAAAAGTTATGCCAATTTTAACATGCTGCATCCTCATTAATGCATGCATCTGAACAATAGCATGCATTTTATTAACTCTGCAACAGTTGTTTCTAACTATTCCCAAAATTAAGGAAAAACAGGCCCACGACGATAACATGGATTCTTAACAAACCCGAATGCACTCATAGGTGGGGAGGGCTTTTCTATTGTTCTTACAAAACAAAATCATAGTGAGCTTATCCTTTTCACTTGAGGTTAACATAACTTTAAAACTTTGGCATTAAACGTCTATTAAAGAATGTCCAACTTCCCCTGCCCCTACCATGGAGGCATTCCATGGTTCTAAATCATAGATTTACTTAGAAAATCCAGCTATGTGCTTGAAAATGTCACTACCTTGGGCTGTAAAAGAAGGGGAAACAGCTTGATAGCCACTTATATGAAGGATCCTGGAAGCCACAAAGTTCTGTCATCAGCACCTAGAGACATCCATGCAGTCTGCGTACCAGGAATGGATCTCCAGTGAAGAGTCCTTTGACAGAGGGCTCAGTCCTCAAAACTCTGGACACAATCTCTCTGGAAGTCATGCATCCTGCTATTACTCAGTGCTCATTGCCACTAGAGACCTCTGTGTCAGAAAGGAGTGGTTAACTTGAGTTCCTCCAGATATTGTTGGACTCCAACTTCTATCAGCTCCAACCAGTATGACCAAAGGTTAGGGGTCATGGTAGCTGTCGTCTGTTAATATCTGGAGGGCCACAGTTTAACCACCCCAATGTAGGCTGAATTGCCAACCAGTCCAGCCATCACAACAGCAGAAGAGGACCTGCTGACACCCACAGGAATTCCAGCAAGTCTTCTGGAAGTCCTGTTCTAAATTCATATGACTAGAACACAGCAACCAAATCCCCATTTTGATGGAACAATCTTACAAACACCAAATCCTTGAGATGAGTAATCCACTTAATGGTTTCTCCTTTCTACTTCTTGTCTGCATGGATTTGGTTAAACAGAAGAGCTTCAGTTTGTTTGTCTTTTCAATAAGTAACACAGCTTACTTGCTATATCCCCACATGTTTACTGTTTCCAATTGGACCCTAAATTCATGCTTTGACAATCTCAAATCTTGATTACTGCAATGCTTTCTATGTGGGGCTACCCTTGGGTCTGGTCCAGAGGTTCCAGCTATTCCAGGATACTATGGCTAGACTGATAATGATGCCACCAGGCCACGTTCAAGGTTCCTGTATTAACGTACAAGGCCCTTAGCAACTTGAGACTGGGAAGCCGCAGGGTCTGCTGGACCCCTTCCATGTCTGCTGGAGGTCTTTGGGGGAGTCACTGTTACTGGTTTCCCATTGCTCAAATTGCATGGCTCAGATCCCCAAGAAGTATGCATTCAGTACTGTGGGCCCAATTTCATAAAACCCTCTGCTAGTTGAGGTCAGACAATCCCACTACCTACCTATTGAACTTCTGGTACCCACAAAAGACTTTTTAAAAAATTCAACCATACTTTTTAATTGAATTCCGATTTTATCATTTTAATTCATTTTTAGTCTTACTGTATTGGGTCTCCTGTACACCACTTAGAGATGACTGTGATTAAGTGGTTTTCATTTCAAATTGTTGGAATAAAATAAATAATATATATTACGGCCTGTTTGCTACCGTAACACAATAGTGTTCTCTTGCGTCTTGGCAACACATGGCTCCAATTCTGGATGGAGGACCTTGAATCACTGTCTCCTTATTAAGGCAAAATTTATAAGCCCTGCTTCATAATTATAGTGTCTTTTCTTTTCACATTTTATTGGAAGTGCTGGTCATTCCTTGAATGTATGCAAGGGACCAAGATGATCACTATAATGCAGCCTAAAATTTCAGCCAGCATGTATAAGCTACTTAGGTGTGCACACATGCATAGGCTCATGCTATTGGGCAGTTAGACCTAATTGCTCCAGTCCAAAGTTTTGCATGCATTTTGATATTGGGGTTTCATGGGGTCCATGTTAATTTAAATCCAGAGGACCAATCTATTCACACAGAGTATCACACATTTAATGACTGCTTCTGTTTAAATGAATATGAAGTCATTCCAAGTAGTTAAGCTATATATGGGTATATTGGCACTTCTGTGCCCAGACCATAGCACTGGATGAGAGTGATTATGTGTGTATGGTTTTCTATGCTGTCTTGATAGTAATTTTGCATTGTCTTATTACTAAAGAGGGGGAAACTTAACAGTAACTAAATGAGATCATATTCCTGAGATATGGAATCTGCAGAGAAGAACTTGAAATTATTCCCCTTTTATAACATTCCAAAAACTCAGTTTTGATTTCTGGGATGGACAAGATTGAGATTTCAATTGTTAATATTGGGGGAAGGGCAAAGAATAGATATTTTTTCTAGATCAGTGGTGGGAAACCCCTGACCCTCCAGATATTGTTGGACTTCAGCTCCCATCAGCCGTAGCCAATACTGTCTATAGTCAGGGATCATGGGAGTCAGGGATCAGGGTTCTGCAGCCGTAGCTGGTGGGCCAAAGTTTAGCCAACACTCTTCTTGATTTTCCATATTCAGAAGAACAAAAATACATTTCCTTCTTGTATAGCTTGCATTTAAACTTTTACTTGGGAAAATTAAAGGAACATGAGTTAATATGATGCTTTAATAAAAAGGATACTTAAATGTTTAAGTTAGTAAGATTTAAAAACACACCAAAAGCATGGTGTATAACAAACCAAAGTCACCAGGTTACATAACTTGTATTTCCATCTTGTGGTTTGTGAATGTTTATAGTTACGAAACTTTCCCATGTTAAATCTGTACAACGTTCTGAGCCTGTTGCTGCTCTGATGTCAACAAATCAGTGATCAGTCTTCATTCTGTTGTGAATATGTGTTATCTAAACCTGTTGTTTCTTTATATGTATTATTTGACTCAGTGTGTCCCTTGTTCTTTCAATATCTTTCAATATCATTTCTACTTCTCAGAACTCATATTCTAATGTTTATTGCTGTTTGAAATCTTGCTGCTTCTGTTGTTAAGGTCATGTATTTCAAAGCATTTTCTGTTTGGCTGTGTCCCCTGTTGAAATATTGAGCTAATTTGTTTAACAGTTTAAAATTTGTTTCATAAAAAATTGGTGGTCCACCTTGTTTTGCTATAGCAGTACTTTTGTACCAAATGTCATTCAGTCAGAATATGTATATACAATTAGCCTGCAGTTCAAAGTACTTTCTGAGACATATACTGGAATTAGATCATCCTTGAAATTGAAACATACTCACAAAGTTATTAAAACTGCAAAATCCCTGACAGGGAAGAAGCCTGAATATACATGGAAGTTTTAGTAGCTTCCATTGGAAAAACAGGTTCTTTCTTACTTGATATACTAGATTATACTTGTCAGAAGCTTTCCCAAGATAAAACGAGAAATTTCACAAGTTCTTTCCCTCACCATCCATTTCCTCATTGTCTTCACAGCTTCTCCCTGCTTTGTTTACTAGAAATCCTCCATCACTTCCTTTCCCCTTCCTGTTCCTGTTGCGGTGTGAGACAGAGGCCCTAAATCTTTCTCCTTTTCTATTATTCAGTCTAGGGATCTCTGGAAATTTACCCAAACACTCACTTAAGTTCTCTCATTTTCCATTTTGTTCTCCCGGTTTTTGCTTTACTGACTCAACAGTAAAGCCAAAGAACGTTAGATCTGCGTATCTTCCTCAGAAGATCTCTGGGCCTCACGAATATGGAGTTTTTATATCTGTGTCAGCTTGTAAATATGTCTCTACTTTCTTTCTGATTACTTCCTATTTGGTATTATAGAACATGCTGCTTTTATTGACGCATAATTTTTCAAATTCAGACTCTTTCATGACAATAATTAAAAAACAACAACAGCTCCCTCCAACTGAGGTATCTTACTTGCTTCTTCCCCAGCAGCAATAGTTCTCTGTACTGAATTGGAAGGTATTTGTCTAGTTCTCCAGATCATTGTGACTGCTTGTTAGATGGCTCAGGGACAGATTATGGAAGGAATCGGAGCTCTCACAGTTTAAGTGCATAATGCCTAGAATTGTTTAAATGCCCACAAACAAATTTTCGTTTCTGACTCACAATAAAACAGGAGAAAATTGCAAGTTTGGAAGGCACACACTTTTAAAGACAATCAGTCTTATTTTCCATTTAACTATTAAGGCACTTTGTTCAATGAGAGTAAAGCTTGTTTCTGTCCAAAGGTAGTAATTTTGTTACAGGTGTGATGAGAAGGATTTTGTAATAGTTGTTGTTGTTGAAGACTGCATGTCTTCATGGGAGATAATCATCTTTAGAATCCCAGGTTCCAATTCTCCAAGCGCTGATCACTATTCAAAGAGTCCACCTTATGCATGCAGCTGGGTGACATTGTTTCCACGTCCTGTCCAGCAGTTTCCCCCTGCACTGAACTGCTGTGCTTCAAAATGCAGTTTGCTATTCAGAGAGTGACTGTTGGAATAAAAACATAAAGAAAAACATCTAGCAGTGTGCCTGGGTCTTCCACACACAAATCTCTTGATCACAGCCGTCGTTGTTGCTCCCATTTCAGAAGCAGAATAGTAAATTATAGCAGCTCCCAGCAAAGTCTTACATTAATCTCTCTTGGCAGACTCACCTTGTTTATCAGAGAACATATTGCTGTCTTCTGATAAATACAAGGTGATATTCCAGTTTTTGGAATATGGTAAAAATAATGAAGCTCACCTACCCCTATGCAAAGTATTGCTACCAGAAGTTATTAATACAATAGAACTATGTTTTTTGTTTTACTGCAAACATTTCCCCTCCAATTTTGCAAGCTTTTGAACAGGTCAGAGAGAGAGAAGAGAGGGCTATTTCAACCATCATTTTGCTCATGCTCTAATCTTCTGAGACCAAATTGCGTTAACACCGAATTCAGAACTGTTAAGAAATTTATCTTCTGTCCCAAACACAGTATTGGGGTTTCCGGTGTAAGTCTGAAGAGCCTTAGTTACATCTGTTAGGAGGAGCTTTCATAGAAATTTTCCTGGCTCCTGATCATTGCACACTTTTTGTTTTATAATTCTCTTCTGGACATATTAACTCTGTAGTCTTGCAAATCGCTTTAGAACAAATGTTGTGTTAACACTATTCATCTCCTTTTTTAAAACTTGACATCAGCATGCGCTTTTAATGGAAGAGTATTTGTGCTTCGGTGTCTGTTGCTTTGGTTCCTCACTACTAAAGCGGCTGCAGCTTAACTACCTGTTGTCTTCTCTTGCAGATCACTAAGTCAGGGCAGCACAAACTCAAACATGTTGGACGTTCAAGGAGGCGCACACAAAAAACGTGCCCGGCGCAGCTCCCTTCTAAATGCCAAAAAATTGTATGAGGACGCTCAGATGGCCAGGAAAGTCAAACAGTACCTCTCCAATCTGAATGTGGAAACGGATGAAGAAAAGTTCCAGATAATGTCACTTCAGTGTGAACCTGCGTATAGCACTTGTAAGTAAAGCAAACTTTTAGGAAGGCAATTGAGCTTGAACAGTCTGTGGTGTTAGTTAGGAAGAATGTTTGTGTCATTCTTTAGACTTAATTTTCTATGGTTACATAACTATGTGCATTTCTATGGGCTTTCTCTTAAGCATAGTTTTAATGCAGGCTAAATATATATTTAAAAGCAGATACTGCAAAAGCACAACAACCTCAAAACCCTTGATGAATATTTGGCATCTTGTCAATTTAAGTTTTGACTGAGTTTGCACAAACTTGAAATTATAGGTCTTACCATTGACCTTCAGTTGTTAATCTATGCGCCTATCACTAGCCTGCCAAAAAATCCCATACTATGTTGCAATATTTTTTTTTGCAAAGTTAGCACTTTACAGAATTAAGAAATGGTATTGGTAAGCCTAGTGTAAGTGATAAGAAAATGAAAGGATAAAATATTATCACAGACAAATAGTTAGAAAGACATAAGTAAAGAAATTATTTCATTGGGAAATGAGAAAATAGTAGAGAGGAGAGTGATATACCATGATGGTCTGACACTTTTTGAATGCCTTGGCTATTAACAGAGGTTGTTGCAGAGGAAGAGTTTATAAACAGACCTCTGACCTGTGCTATTCAGGAAATAACGAACGTCTTAAGACAGACTCCAAAATATAATGCACTATTAAGGTTATTTAAATTTTGGCAAGCAATCGTAATTAATAGTCAACATCTGGAGGGCACCAGGTTGGGGAAGACAATCCTCAGCCTGTTTGCATTATTTTTGTGTCTGTGTGTTTGTGTGCCTTTTTGTTCTTAACATTTGGGAAGACTTTTGTTTTCTGAATGGACCCTTTTTGCACCTGATTGTGCTCATTAACCACACTAACGTTCTCATGAAATTTTCTGGCACCTTTTGTGATCTGCAGTAAATATATCTAAGCTTCTATTATTGTGGTTTTTAATAACCTCCCAAGTTTTCTGGAGATATTTGACTCTTCTGACATTCCCTCACAACTTCCTTTTCGCTTGGCTTCCCAGTTTGGAAAAGTTCCCTAGGTGACCTTGGGCAAGTTTCTCTTCATCACCCTTGGCCCCAAATTGTCAGTAGGGGGATGACAAACTGTTCTGCCTGGCACAGTGGTTATAAAAATTGCAACTGCCTTTGGCAGTTTCTCGGGTGGTAACCAGGAAAGTGCTTTTTCAGTGATGGCACACTGTTTATGGAATTCTCCTAGTACTGAATTTTACATTTTCTAACATCCCAAGACCTTGTTTTTCCCAGTACTTTTAGTTCCATTCCTATGCTGCTGATCTTCCTAGACTCTGCTACTTTTTCAATTATTAGTTGTTCAATTGTTTTATTTTTGTTTTTAACTGTAAGCAGTCCTGGAAGTTTCAATATTTTGTAGTAATCTTCATCATCACTGTAACTAAACTTATTTGTGCTGATGTTCTTCCTTCCTTCTTCACCCACAACATGCACAAAACCCAATAAGCTGAACCCTAGCCAGCCCCAGATATATCCCTGAAGATTTCATGAGCTGCCATGCATCAATGACCAGTACAGGGTCAGATTTAAGGTGCTGCTTTTGACCTTTAAAGCCCTTCACGGCCTAGGACCCTCGTACCTACGGGACCGCCTCTCCCGGTATGCCCCATGGAGAGCCTCAAGGTCCATAAATAGCAACACCCTAGTGGTCCCAGGCCCTAAGGAAGTTAGATTGGCTTCAACCAGAGCCAGGGCCTTTTCAACTCTGGCTCCGGCCTGGTGGAACGCTCTCCCTCATGAGACCAGGGCCCTGCAGGATCTGATTTCTTTCTGCAGGGCCTGTAAGACAGAGTTGTTCCGCCTGGCCTTTGGCTTGGAGCCAATTTGATTCCCTCCCTCCCTCCCTCTCTTTCTTTTTTCCTTTCCTCCTCCTGCGATGAGGCTACATTTTAATATTTTAATATTTCAATATTTTAATGTTGTATTTTAATTTTGTTTTTAAGTTGTAATCATTCAACTTGTTTTTATTATTGCTTGTAAGCCGCTCTGAGCCCGGCCTTGGCTGGGGAGGGCGGGGTATAAATAAAAATAATAATTAGTAGTAGTAGTAGTAGTAGTAGTGCTGCAAGTGGCTTGAGTATTCACAGCAGCTCCCAGTCAGAGAGGTGCATACTACAAAACATGCAGCACTGGACCAGGAGCTATTGTGACTGCTCACAGGTGTGCCAGGGATGTACCAGATCTGAGAGAGCTAAAAGTGCAGCAGAGTTGTGGACAGTGTCCTTGGGAGAGCAAGTGGGTCCTGCCAACGTTGGCTCCCAACCTTTTCTCTCTACTTCCTATTTTTGCTGGGATTTAGCTTACTGAATTAAAGTTTCTTAGTGCCAGTTTTTTGCCTTCTTGGCCGTTGAGAGTTTTCTGATCTGGAGTGCTCTGAATTTTTGGATGGGTAGTCTGAGATATCCCCGCGGCGGGGTGCGCTCCTGTTGCTTGGTCCCAGCGCCTGCCAACCTAGCAGTTCGAAAGCACCCCCGGGTGCAAGTAGATAAATAGGGACCGCTTACTAGCGGGAAGGTAAACGGCGTTTCCGTGTGCGGCTCTGGCTCGCCAGAGCAGCGATGTCATGCTGGCCACGTGACCCGGAAGTGTCTCCGGACAGCGCTGGCCCCCGGCCTCTTGAGTGAGATGGGCGCACAACCCTAGAGTCTGTCAAGACTGGCCCCTACGGGCAGGGGTACCTTTACCTTTAGTCTGAGATATAGGTATACAAATGTTTCTGTGCTTCATCTCAAAATGGTGTATCCTCTCCGACAGTAAATTAACAGAAATGTAAAGATATAGTTTGAATGCGCTGTTTGCTTTTTATCTTCAGACGTGATTTAATTGTGCGCAGATGGTAAAAGGCAAGCACCATGAAGTTATTTTCCAATAGAGGTTTTCAGCTGTATATCCTGTTGGAGAGTACCAAATGCACATATTTCATTGAACTTAACGGAAGCATGTTTCCCTCATTGAAACAGAAGCTTACTTTCCTTATGAAATCAGGAACAGGGTTTCATATATAAACAGTTATTTTAGCTGTTTAGAAAACCTGCCCTCTGGAAATGCATAACACTTAGCTACCAAAAATATTTAGTGCTGATTTATAAAGCAGATTCTCTCCATTTTTAAGGGGGTTTTTTTGGGGAGGGGGGGAGATAGTCACAAATCCTGCATGATTTCACCTTGCAAAACAGGTCAGAGCTGTAATGTGTTGCACCATTTTTGTGCTGGGCGCAGGAGTAGCAGCAGATGAAGCTACAACATAGATGAGCATCTTCAGGTAATGAAATTGAAGTAGCATAGCTTATTCTGTGAGTTAAGTGTGCCACCTAGTGGAACACTGGGGTTACCTTTCTGAAGAACAAGTGGATAAGAATCCTTACAGATATTGCTATGGATACAAAAATACCAGCTTGCCATCTAGTGTTTCAATACACATTCCATTTTAATTGTGGTTTTTATTAACATTGCAACAGATTATAGAAAAAAAATATTGACTTCTCTTTTTCACCATGTCAGTGACAAAAAATCTAAGTGAAAGACGAGGTGGAAAAGCTGTAGAAATGTCTCCCATGCCACTGAGATCTGTTGGCCAAACTACAAAAGTTCATCTACATCAGCAAAACAGAATGAGTCAAGTCCTTCAGGTTCCAGCTGTTAACTTGTACCCCATTAGGAAAAAAGCACCAGCGAAGGACCATGTGACTTTTAGTGAGTATTTATCTACAGGATTCACTTCTTAAATCAAATTACTATATAAAATGGGCAAATAGAAGGTTTTGCAAGGCTAATGTTAAGCTATACTTGTCTGTTTCATTTCCATTTTGATATAGTCATAGCCTAGCATATATTTCATATACTAGATTATAATCTATACTAGATTATAAAACACTACAGTTTCAGCAGCTGATGGGTTCTGTTTAAATTATTCAAACAAAATCCTTAATTTTAGCCTGATTTTGATAATGTTATATTATCCAGGACTAGTATTACTAAGTTTTGAAATATTGTTAAGATATATTTTTATGGTTTTAAAATGTATTTTATTGTATGGTTGATAAGTAGTTTGTATATTCCTTTGAGAATATTACTTCTTGAAAAATATATTAAATAACATTTGTATAGAGATTTGAGAAATCAAATTTTCCATAAAGACAAATTAAGCCATGCCAAATGTTTCCAAATCTCCTACATTTCATGGAAAGGGACACTGGGAATGTAAATTGTTTCTGCTAAATGTCTTGCAACTTTTATCAAATTCATGTAAACAAGAATGGGGTGATTCAAAATTCTGTTTTGAGCTTTGGGGACAGTATAAGTCAGTGTGTTTTATATATATATGAACATCTCCCAACATAACTTGAGGCCTTGCTGAACATGGCTGGCTTTTAAAAGTTGTCTTCCAACAAAGTAACCTTCACAAAGGAGACCAGGAATAATTTTGGTCATAGTTCAGTTGCCTTTGGACCATAAAAGATGCTTTTGTAGGAACTCTTCAGTTTGAGTTGTGTGTATAAGCATTTGTCTTGTTTTGTGATTGCTCTCATAGGTGCAGGTTCTCCTCAGAAGTCAATGAGTTTGTCTGAGGAAACAAACAGTAAAAAACAAGCAGAAGACAATATATCTATGGCATCTTCTTTGCATTCCAGTCCTCCTGCTTCTCCTCAGGACTCCCCACGCAAAGGTAGGAGTAGACACAAGTTTAGTCTTAACATGTCTCAGCTTAACTATATTTTAGTTTTCTTCTCAGGATCTGTCTTTCCTTTCCTCAGTAAACTCAAAAGATGGACTTTGGGTGTTCACAAAAGGCATAACTTATTCACTGGGGAAATGAAAAGAAACTTCATGTGTTCATGGAAAAGACCATTGTGCCTGAAACCTTTCAGGAAAGTTTTTAACATTGGATATTATTATATTTTATTTATTGAAAGGCATTTATAAACCACTTAATATTTTACAAATCTCTTAATTGGTATAAAATATAAAAATAATGTAATTATAAATGCAACCTAAAACAAGTAGAACAGCTGTATGAAAACATGTAAAAGTGTATAAAATAAATAAAACAAAAATTCAGGGGATCACGGACATAAGGGTCCGATCTTATGGATCAGGAAATCTTGGGGGGGGGGGGAGATATGTAACCGCTATAAGTAGGACGATGTGTTTTTATGTGTGTTGATTTAATATACTGTTTAAAAGGCCATAGAGTGTTTAATTAGCCAGAGGCCTGTGAGAAGAGGAATATTTCTGCCTGGTGCCTAAAGATAAGTAACAAAGGCGCCAGGTGAGCCTCCCTTGGGAGAGCATTCAGCAAGTGGGGAGCCACCACAGAAAATGCTCATTCTCAGTGGACCTCTCTACACACCTCTTGTGGAGGCGGCAAACAAAGAGAGGCCTCAGATGATGATCACAAGGCCCAGGTCTGGGGTGCAGGGTCCAGGCTGGTTCATATACAGTAATTCAAAGAACCATGTGTGTCATTATTTTTTCTGGATATTTGACTATTCTTGTTGGATTGAGAGCCAGTGTGTAGTGGTTAAGAGCGGTAGTCTTGTAATCTGGGGAGCCGGATTTGCTTCCCCGCTCCTCCACATGCAGCTGCTAGGTGACCTTGGGCCAGTCACACTTCTATGAAGTCTCTCAGCCCCACTCACCTCACAGAGTGTTTGTTGTGGGGGAGGAAGGGAAAGGAGAATGTTAGCCGCTTTGAAACTCCTTAAAGGGAGTGAAAGGCAGGATATCAAATCCAAACTACTCTTCTTCTTCTTCTTCTTCTTCTTCTTCTTCTTCTTCTTCTTCTTCTTCTTCTTCTTCTTCTTGGATTGCCAAAAGTTACTCCTGCTAGAATTCTTCTACATAAGCATGCGACTTTCATTAACTTTCATGTGACTCCATGAGGATTGCTTTGTCTCCTTTGATTTCAGTTGTTGGATACGCATTCAGGGGTTGTTGTTTTCTTTAAGAACAACCTTGTTTTGATAAAAGTGGCCTCTGCCCTGTTTGGTATTTGTTAACATCTCATTGCAGAGCTAAAATAGATTACTTGTTCTCTAACTAATTAAACAGGCACATCATTTTCCCTCTTTACTTAACTGCAGCTTATGTTTCCTTTTGTGCTGCATCCAAGTGTAACATTACGTAGATTAAAAAACAAGAAGCGTGTTTCTTTTACTGCCAGTGTGTTATTTACTTTGCGTGTTCCTTTCTTTGTAGCTGGTAATCCCCAGAGGTCTGATCACTGCAGCCAGATCAACCTCTCTGGCTCGTCCTCATCTCTTGCAAGCGAAGCAAGCAACAAGAACAGTGGACAGCGCAGCTACGGAATAGGTGGGGCTTATTTGCAAAGGAAAATCCAGCAGATGACTAGCAGGACAGCAGAAATATCAGTCAGTGCTGAAAAGAGGCAAAGTGAGGATGTCAGAGACAAGACAGAGCTTCAGTATAAGCCCAGGAAAAGAATGGTCTCTCCCTTTGCAAGATTCAGGGAAAGGAGTATCTCCAGGGAAAGATCAGCTGCTGCCCGTGACATGGACGCAAAGTGCATGCAGGAGGAAAGGGATAGAGCTGAGAAACAAAAGGACATAGACAGTAATGTGTTGCATACAGCCAGTAGCCATGGAAACAGTAGCTCTCTAATGTGGTTATGTCCACAGCTGAGGCACAAGAGAAGGAAGACTATGTGACATGCCGTTCTGCCTGTGTCAGGCTTAAATCTGTATTTATACTGTAAATATTTATTCAGATATGTTAAGTATGTGTGACACCATTTTGAGTTTTTTCAGAAGCCGATATTAGCAAGAGATTCATTTTTACTTGTACATTTTCAGTATTAAAGCTGGAAGGACCACACTCCCTTTAGGAGCTTCTTAGAAGACCACCCAACCTCTTCTGTTGGTGATGGTTGAGAAATGACTAGAAATAGACTTGTATCTCAGCTTAATAGCGTATTAAGCCTTGTTCTGCAGGCTTTGTACAGAGGATGAGAATACAGCGAGTGACTAACGGGTCATGCTTTCTGGAGCAAAATACTTTTTAAAATATGCTTTCTTATCTTGCTTTCTAGCCCCCTGCCACATACATGGCGACATGCAATTTCCAGTTGGGCTGCTGCGTGATATGCAATTACATACATGCGGTTTTACATGGCAAGCAAATTGTGTGAAGCAGCTCTGTGTGCACTTCCTACTATTCATACAGTTCATATAGTGGTGTGGATGAGATAAACAGAACTGTAGTGGAGTAATTGCTTCACACAAAAGCCTTCCCATGTGGCCAAGCACATGATTTGCATTTAGGAATCAGCCCTTGTAGCTTGACCCCTATACATAAGGACCATGGCACTTACTTTCAAGAAAGTGTGCCTAAGCTTGTATGTACCTTTTTCATTTTTCTCTTGGAGAGACCTCAGCCTGTTTGAAATATACAATAGTTCTCAGTATTTGCCCTCTTGTAGGGATAGCCTTTGAACTGTGTAGCCACAATCTACAATTATCATTCACATCACATCATTGTGCACTACTATTCAGTTATGTGTAATTTGTACCCTTTTGGGATTTACAGTTTCATTTTACTTTAAAAAAATTAATAATACAGGTGTGAGTGTTTTATGTAATCAAAGGTTTTAACTTCACTTCCCAACTGCTTTCATGATAAAGAGGTTTCTGCTTTTACTATATACTTAAAATGTTTCACAAATTTTCCCTAACATGTTGTGAGTAGATGCATTTTGAATTGTTATTTTTAGGCAAAATGTATCTGTTTACATTTAAGCTATTAGATCTATCATCTCATAAAATATCACACATGGTTACTTCCCACTAATGAAAATATTTATAAATTTGTGCATACCTCAAAGTTTCTGGATTTTATATCCCAAAATGCCAGCTTGCTTATTAACTGGGATTATTTCCATGTGTTTTGTATAAATTCATAGAGGTAAACACGGGTTTTTTTTCATGGGAAGCAGTTCAAAGAGTGTCTCCTTTCAAAATAAATGCATTAATAAATCTTGGCCATGTATCACAGAGGCATTTGCATAGCCTATATGTACATACACAAGGAATGTTTCTTTCTCTTAGTAGCAGCTTATAATGGACCCCCAAACTGTTACTCAAACTCTCTTCCCCCAATTTAAAAAGGGCACAGATAACATACATATTATTCTGGGAATTTCCCTTTCAAATAAGCAAGACAGCAAGCTAGTTTTTAAATTTGGGTGTTCTATATATGACTAGCTACAGCAAGAGAAGCTCGGCGCTTATTTTTCCTGGATCATAAGCAATGTATTGAGACCAATTTCCTACTTTCTTTTTTACCAGTAAATTACTTTAAAAGCCCATATCCGATGAAGATAAGGGAGAAAAATAGAAACATGAAAAGTGCTAAGGCATTGCAGGAACATACTTTAAAAAAAAGAAAAGACCTGTCAAGGATTGGGAGCAGTGAGAAACCATGTTACCATGTGTTCTGAACCATTGAATAAGTGGTGGTGGTTTTGTCTGGAGTCGCCTGCAGACAAGTTTGCTTGCTTGTTTTTTTAGTTGACAAATGGAAAATTGCATGTCTGATTGGCCCATCAGATTCTACAGCTTCACTCTGGAAGTCTCCTGGTTTACTTAATGGAGGCATTTTCAAAACTGCCAGTACTTACTACAATTAGCTGAAGCAAAAGAAATGTGATAGATAGATAGATACCCTTAATGTTCTTTTCTGCAGTGTTAAGATAAAGGTTTTGACTTGTCACTATTTTTGATATACTTACTGAGTGCCATAGTGCTTAAGTTGTGGACCAGGTTTCAGTAAGAGTTGAACATCAGCATGATATTACACAGCTTAGGAAGTTCACAAGTATGAAATGTGTATTGGTTATTGTTTTGCTGGCATCAATCTGTCTCAGGAGACAATGGAGGACTGCACCTTTGAGGTTGAGGTCAAGTTGTTGGACAGTTGCAGCTCCTGCTGTGGCTGTAGAGACAGATGCAGAAAAGACGTGTTTTGTTGCAGCTGGGGCAGATAAAGGCTGCTGCAGATCCACCATGGTGTTTTTTCTCTCTACGCTCCTCCCAGTGGTCATTTCTCCTCTGGTCACTGCTATGAATGCTTGACAGCTTGTCTCCAGGCTCTGTGGTCGTCTGCAAGGGATTCCCACGTGGCAGGGTTAATGCTGCCAGCCTTTATGTTGCATTTGCAGACATCTTTGTACTGAAGCTCGTGTTATCTTGTATTACGTTAAATCTGAATCTTATCTTTAAAAAATCCATTTGAAATGTAATGCACCTTAAATTGAACATACGGGAGTAGACAGTGCAGCACAGTAAGGCTTAGCAAGAATATTGGTATAAAAATTCTACTTGAAGGTCATATTTGACTGGTTCACCACCAAAGTTAAACCACATTTTAAAGCAAACTATGGCCTAAAGTGAATAAACCATGTGCTAATGGGATGCTGCTCAGTTGTGCCTGATATCCTCTGCTTCTGCCCTTACTTCACTGGAGAGGCAACAAACCACAGGCTTTAGAATTAATTTGTGAACCCATTGCCTCTGGGGTTTTTTAATTGCCTCTCAGCCCAGCAAAGACCGGAACAGGTACTTTTTTTTGTTCAGATTGCCAGATAAGAAAATTACCAGCACGTTCACCTTCTAAGGATTTGCCACAGTTGCCTGGGGTGAATGAGGTTTTAGCGATCCTAGCCATCTTACTCTCAGCTGCAGTCCTAGAAAAGCAGTTCTTTCCGCACTGGGAAAACCCTGCGCAAAAAGAGCTTTTAAGCTCTCTGCCTTCCATGCTTATAATTTGTGTGATTTTAACCAGCTGGCCTCCAACTGTGTAAAGTTGAAATCACACATGTTAAGCAGCTGGAGAGAAAAATCAAGCTGTACCATATGATGGCCACTTTCAAATACCTGTCACATGGAAGATGGGGCCAGCTTGTTTTCTGCTGCTCTGGAGGGGACAACCTCAACTGATGGGTTCAGGTTGCAAGGAAGGAGAGTCTGACTAAACATCAGGAAGAGCTTTCTGGTAGTAAGAGCTATTTGATGGTAGAATAGGCTCCCTTGGAAGATGGTAGACTCTCCTTCATTGGAAGTTTTTAATCAGAGGTTGGATGGCCGTCTGTCAGGGATGCTTTAGCTGTGATTCCTGCATTCCAGGGGACTAGATGGCCCTTTGGTGTACCTTCCAACTTCACAATTCTGTTAGTTACCTGTATCAGTTTTTTCAAAACAACAGGTAGAACAAAAATTGGAACTGTCATTCTAATGAATACTTTTCCTACGTAACCTAACTGGAGTAAATTAAAGCCAAACCGTCAACACAGTATCTATAGCCTATTTCAATCTAGATTTATGAACAGCTTAGATTTCATTAATGGTGGTGGGGAATGTTAGTGCAAATGAACATAAAATTACTTTAAACTGTTTGCGGGTGTATCTTGGGTGAAATCGTTGCAGATTCTTGATTGCTATTGACTGGAAAATTACTTTTCCTATGCTTAGCTTCAGAATCAGAAGAATCTTTATTTGCACCAGCTACTAGCCATAGCGATAAAATAAAATACAATGTACTGAAGAGAGAGGTAAAAACTTAACTATACAAAATACATTCTGGTTTATGTTTAGCTTTCAAAGAAGCCTTATCTGCAAATCCCACGTGTTGTTGTTTTTTTGCTCTGTTTTCATTGTATATTATAGCCATTTGAAGGAAAGCATGCAAATTGTATCCTTGTGACAAATGTTCAAAGTAATTAGTGAAGCGTTGCTCCACTCTACTGTTGATTTTTTTATTCTCTTCTTTTGAATGAAAAGGAAGCTCAGTAACGTAAAATGAACAATTAAAAAGCCATACTAGGGAGGAGAGAGAAGTGGTGGAAAGCATCTTTGTCTTTAAAATACCATAGCAGTGTCATAAATTAGCTGTCTGAACTCTTTAAAAAAGTTGAATCCTTTCTTCCCCTGTCCTCCTTAGGCTATGCCCTGATACCATCTGCAAAATCCGAGAATTTTTCAGATTCCAGCCACAGCGAGATCTCTTCACGGTCCAGCATTGTGAGCAACTGCTCTGCTGACTCCATGTCTGCAGCCCTTCAGGATGAAAGATGTCTGGCTCAGGCTGTCGTAGTTGTGGATTCAGTAGGAGCAGTTGAAAGGAAGGAGCACCCTCACCCGTCCTCTGAATACAGCCAGCCTTGCCCTGGGTAAGAAGTGATTGACACGTGAGAGAGTAGCGAAAGGATTTTCTGTTCAAGCCATTTACTGCCTATGCTGTAATCATGCTTACAGGTGCTATTAGCCTGCTGAAAACCACTTTTAGAAAGAGCAAAGTATGCTCCCTGCTCGGGAAATCTCAAGTTAGAATTTTAAACAGGCTATGATTTTCCCTATATTGGTAGGCCTTTAAATTGGTGTATTAATGTACATCCTAGAAAATGCATTACAGCTGCAGGATTTAAATAAATTGCCTCTGGTATAGCACCAGGCACTGAATGTTCAAAGATGTTATCCTGGAAAGCCCTGAAAAGATTTGCCATTTAAAATGTGTTCGTGTTCAAATGTACAGCGTGACCCTGGTGTTTCGTGACAGTGCTTTAACAGCTCTGCTAAGCAAGTGGGAAATGTGCTTCCAGGCTTATGCCTAAGGCATAATGGTCAGAAACCTGGTTGCCACTCTCAGAAGAGAAGATGGATTCTGTCAGTGGAAGGCTGGACAGTACCAATTATAACTAAGGCCTCTAGGGTCTGTAGAACTTTTACCAACATTTATTTATTTTGTAAAAAAAATTAAAATAAAATCTTCCTATGTAGATTCAATTAATGTTGCTGTTCACTAATCAATATTCAGTTAATCACTGATTCATTTAATAACTGTTTCTTGAAATGCAATAGCACTTGGTGCTCAGTACATGATTTGCCACATCAGCATAGGTTAAAAGAAATCGCATAAAGATTGAAAATATAAGTTGTTGAAATTATTTCCTACGAGCAGGTAAAATTGTAGCATTTAGATGTGTAATGGCCTGATGCTTGTCTTGAAGAAAAGAAAGAAAGTAGATCATAGGGTTGTATTTAACTAACTTTCCTCATAGTAGACACACTAATATTAATGATCATGACTAACTTAGGTACGTTAATTTCAATTAGCTGACTACCACCCATAGAAATCAACATTTGCGGTTGGCAGAGCCTGTCGGAAGACTTGGCTAGTGGAAAGACATTGTAATGCAGTTGTAGACAATGTGGTTCCCTACAAATGTTATTAGACTATAGTTCCCATCAGCCTTGTCCAGTACCCATGTTGGCTGGGGCTGTTGGGAGTTGGGAGTCCAACAATATTTGTAAGGCACCACATTGGATAACCCTACCATAGCATTGTAGTAGATATAATAAGACATAGATAAGTCTTCAGTAAAGTAGTACCTTGGTTCTCGAACAGAATGTGTTCCGAGAGTTGGTTTGACTCCCGGAACCATTTGAAAAGCAAGGTGTGGCTTCTGATTGGCTTGAAAGCCACGCTGGACGTTTGGCTTCCGAAATAGTTCGAAAACTGGAACACTCACTTCCGGGTTTTGATCATTCGGGAGCCAAGGCATTTGAGATCCAAGGTACAACTGTATAGACACAACCAATGGTTAAGGCAAAAGCAGTCATATTTTGAACCAACTGGACTCTAAACTTAATTTCATACCTTGAAAATTTCCAAAAGTTCTGCTCAACGTGCTCAGATGCAAAGAGGTGAGCAAGCATTTTACAGACTGTCTTCAACCCTGGATGTTGTCACCATTTGTCGCCATTGAATTGCTTGCATGCTGCCTTTATAATGCTGTGGTCTTCGATTTCAGTTGGCCACTGTCCAGACCTCCAGTGATCCGAGGCCTGCCAGTCCCATCTTCCATGAGCACGGAGGAGATTTCCCACGAACACATCACGATAGAAGCAGCAGATAGTGGTCGTGGGAGCTGGACCTCCTGCTCCAGTAGTTCTCATGATAACTTCCAAAATATCCAGAACCAGAAAGGCTGGGACCTCTTAAACTCTTACCGCCACGCTCACTTAGAAAGGGCCATTGCTGAAGTAGAACCATCAAGCAGCTGCCCTGAAGAGATTCACTTGCAGCCCCACGCCCACTCAAACAGCAGCCGGCAATCCAAAACGGGCATGGACTTTGACCAATCCCGGCAGAGCTGGGCTTCATCGAGTTCTCTGTCAGACGCATATGAAGCAAACTGTGGGACAGTGAAGCGGCGAGGACTTGACAGCTTAGCAGTAGAGCAGGCTGAAGTTTTGGACTCCAAAGCAGGTGGCGATACAACATACAAAACTGTCACTTCCAGTACCGAGAGAGGCCTCATAGGTAAGCCGCCCAAAGGCTGTGGAAGCTCCCACAGCTGCACTGTATTATGTTATTAAGCTGTTAAGAAATGACATCAGCAGATTGCATGTTAAAATCCAGTTTGTACACAAGTTTTCAATCAAATAAATCCACGGCCCAAAGTGTTTCCAGACCTCCTTGGGAGTAGGGGTGGGATTTAAAGTAACAGAACAGCAAACTTTTTATTGCCTTACAGGGAAGGGAGCAGGCTTATGCAACAAGCAGAGGAAATCTTCCCTGTGACCTTTTCCAAAAAAACCTTTCTGAGATATCTTTTTTGCAGTTTTCCAATAAGAATTTGGGCTGTCCTTTCTTGAGCCCTCTCATGCATTACACTGGAGATGACCAAGTTGGTGCAGAAATTGTCCACGTCGCAATGCTTTTTCCAGCCATTCAGTCCTGCCTACCTGCTCCCCTTTGCCCTTAAGGCAGAAAGAAAATATTCCCCAGGTGTCATTTTGCATAGCCATCAGCTTGGCCATCCTCCAAATGCTGAGTATCCCAGGAAGCATTTTGTGCCAAAACCAAATAGATTTCATACCAAAATGACATATCAGGTCCTATTATTGAAGTTGGGAAATATGGCATAAAAATATAATTGTACACAGATTGTAAACCAGTTAAGAGAATGCATAAATTGTGGTGATTCTTTTATTGAAAAATATATATACAGTGGTACCTCGGGTTAAGTACTTAATTCGTTCCGGAGGTCTGTACTTAACCTGAAACTGTTCTTAACCTGAAGCACCACTTTAGCCAATGGGTCCTCCTGCTGCCGCAGCACAATTTCTGTTCTCATCTTGAAGCAAAGTTCTTAACCCAAGGTACTATTTCTGGGTTAACGGAGTCTGTAACCTGAAGCGTATGTAACCTGAAGCATATGTAACCTGAGGTACCACTGTATCCCACATTGTTTTAGATATGAAAGCTGCTTCCAGCATTGAAGAAAAGGATATGGATACATTTTCTCAGGGGACTTCTCTCTCCTGCCTGCCCTTTCCAATGTGCAATGATCTCTGCTCCTAGATGCTATACTTGCCCTATACCTCTTTCCTCCCTTTAACTCATCCTCAGCTCTGCCATGTTACTTCATATCTCACACCCACATCAGTGTCCAACCCAGGCATCTTGTGAAAGAGGGTGAGATATGCATCCTCTTCCACTCGATAGATTGCCTTACATGCTCAGCTGCTGGTAGCAGTGCACATTCATGTACTGCTACCAGTACCTTCCTACTAATGTCCTTAGTCAGGTATGAAATACAGGACCGTACGGGAAAAAAGTTGTGTTTTGTGACATTGGACATTTTGGCGCGGTGTTGGCTGCATGTCTGGAATATGCTTTTTGGAATCCTTAGCTGACTGTTTTTTAAAAAATATTTGAAAGGCCTGCAAGGGAAGTTGTTGTAGTGAGTTTGAGGGTATTGTTGCAGTTTTTATTTTTGTGCAACCACTGTGCATTGAACAGCTGTTTGTGATATTTGGGGATAAAGTGGGGACATCCTGGCTTGGACCCTTGGTTGCTCTTCTGTCAATGTGAGGGACTCCAATCCAACAGAGGCTTCTGCTGGTGGAAGGAAGGAAGGAAAGAAATTTTTGCCAGTTCCTCTTTACATATACAGCTCCCAGTGACACCTCCAGAGGGTCTCCTAATCACTTGGAGTATATTATCTTAGGGCACTGGGGAATTATTATTATTATTATTATTATTATTATTATTTATTTCTATCCTGCCCATTTGGCTGGGCTTTCCCAACCACTCTGGGCAGCTTCCAACAAAAGATTAAAAATACATTGAAACATCAGTCATTAAAAACTTCCCTAAACAGGTGGAGTTGTGAAAATTACCTTCCCCTTTCCCCCAGTAGGGGGATCCAAGTCTTTGAACACAGTTTCCTTTTCCTCAAAGTGCATTTGAAGCGTATTTCACTGTAGGAACAATTAAATTGATGTCACTGGCAGCTTTTAGCCATTTTGATAAATCAAAATGGAATTAATGTCAACAAGGGGGAGCTGCTGCAAAATATTACAACTGTGCGGAGTGTTGCTGTTCAGTATGCCAACCAGCTGTGCATTCTTTTGGGATTCATAATTTCATTTTTCCACCCAGCCAGTTTCTTATTCAGCTCTCCCCCCGCAAAAAACAGTCAACATTATGTAGCCTTGTTTAGTTTGTATCTGTCTGTCCATCTATCCATCCATACACACATTTCTGCAGGACTTGAGGTTCCCATATGCCTGCTAGCACATGGGTAGGCAAACTAAGGCCCAGGGGCCAGATCTGGCCCAATCGCCTTCTAAATCCGGCCTGCGGACGGTCCAGGAATCAGTGTATTTTTACATGAGTAGAATGTGTGCTTTTATTTAAAATGCATCTCTGGGTTATTTGTGGGGCATAGGAATTCGTTCTCCCCCCACCCCAAAAATATAGTCCAGCCCCACACAAGGTCTGAGGGACAGTGGACCGGCCCCCTGCTGAAAAAGTTTGCTGACCCCTGGGCTAGCACCTTCCTCTTGTGTGTGCATGGTCCTCCTTTGGCTTACATAGGGCTCCACACTCACCTCTGAACATTGGAAACAAAGGGAATGAGACTATCTGTGAAAGGTTTGTGACATGGCACAAGCTGGAAGAGGAGAAGGAAAGAAAATGGCACGTCTGTAGACCAAAGAAAGGGAATTCACAATTTTCAAACTGAGAACCACCTCTCTAGTAGTTGGCCCATTTTGTCCTTTTGCCCCACGCCATTACAGTTTTAATTCACATTCTTATTAGTGCCAGTGTAAACAGGATTTCCACAGTTCAAAATTAAAGGAAAACTAACAAGATCAAAGCAGGAATAAACAGTTTTGCAAAGAGGAATTGCCAGGAAGTTAAATGCCAGTGAAATCTAATTAATAAACCTTTTCCTAAGGGCATAGCTTTTTCATCAGAGGGTAATTGCGTCTCCTCAGATCACCCCCCCCCCAAAATTTGGGCTTGCATTACATTTCATCCTCTGCCTAGCTCCAAGGCAAAACCAACATTGCCGAATGAATGTTTGGGTGGGGCAGGGGTTACACACCCAGTCTATGTAACCCCAGCATTCTCTACTCTGAGAAACGTCCTCTCATTGGTCCTGTCTGTTCTTGCTACCTTGACCAGTCTTGGCATTTTGCCAGCTGTCTGCTTTTCCACAGACCTGACATGCAAACACCGCAGAATCACAGAATTGTAGGGCTGGAAGGGATCCTGGGGATCATCTAGTCCAACCCCCTGCAATACAGGAATTTCTTGCCCAACCTGAGGCTCCGACTCACAACCCTGAGATTAAGAGTCTCATGCTCTACCGACTGAGCTATTCAGCTTAGACCATCTTTATCTTTTATCAAAGGATATCCCCAATGCCTGCTCCTTGTTTGATTTTGCCATTTATTTGTTAGCAACTAAAAAGGCATCACAACAATTGTCTGTAAATGATATTAGTTTATCAGTATATAATCTAGTTTTCACTTTTGCACTTGATTTATAGAAGCCAGCTGTTTTGGAATAGAAACTTAGAGGGGGGAAAACCTGTTGCAAATTGTGTTCCTTGGCACTGTAAATAAACTTAATGTTGAAATTTGGCATAGTTTAGAACTGTCAGATGAGACTGGAAATGCATGACTTCAGCTGCCCTTTTTTGTTCCTTTCCAGTGCTTACATTGCCACTACTTCAAGGTTTCACACTAGCAAGTGGTAGGACTACAGCTCTGTACCAATCTGTCGATGGAGTGTAGTGAGCTAACCATTTAGAGTGGTCTAACAGTGGTAAACTATTGGAATATACCTTAGGAAATCTATGTAAGAGCTGTAGGTTTTGAATTGCAGAAAGGGCCTTCCAGTGGTATTACAGAACGAATGTAACACATAAAATTGCAACTTAAGAGTGTGTTGAATTGATACATGCAGCTTCTTAACTGGCAGAGTCCCTCTTAAAAATATAAAGAGGTATAGAAATGAATTGAATAATAATAATAATATGTAACTTATTTGGATAACATTGACATTCCCGTGTTAACACCATTTGTCTGGCTTAGACTACCTTGGTTACCTCCTTTAGGATAAAGAAAAGTCATATTTGAAGATGAGAATGGGGTAGTCTTAAGACAAGAGACAAAAGCTTCACAAACTAAAACTTACATAATTCTAGCAAAGGCAAGTGTCAAGGTGAATTGTAGGTATTTTAATTACATTTATTGCCAAAAATGCTGGCAGTATGACATATACAATAATTGAAATTAATGCTGTAGAATTCTCATATATATCTGTGGGTGCTGGAATATAAAAGGTTTTGAAAGTTATCGATCAGGAAATTTCACTCACATAGGAACAATGAAGTAAATTCTCAGTTTTGGAAATGTCAAGAATGTTTGTACTACAGATAAGTTACGTGTGTGTGTGTGTGTGTGTGTGTGTGTAAAGTGCTTTGTCTAGTACAGTGGTACCTCGGTTTTTGAACATAATCCATTCCGGAAGACCGTTCAACTCCTGAAATGTTTGAAAACTGAGGCTCCAAGGGCTGGCTGCAATTGCAATGGAGAAAATTGGGGAGGGGGGGGACACCTCAGCGGAAGACGTTCGACTTCTGAGACACATTCGAAAATGGAAGCATTTCCTTCCAGGTTTTTGGCATTCGGCTTCTGAAACATTCGACTTCTGAGACATTCGAAAACCGAGATACCACAGATTTCAGATTGTTGTAATCAACTAGCCTAGGATTACAAAAAAATAAATAAAATAAATACCCTGTCTGTAATCCAGTAGCGGACCATGAATTTGAGGTGTCGAAAGATTGGGGTGTTGTTGTTTTTTTGGTTCTTTACAAAAAGATCTGCATATTTAAATATTCTGCACAGTTTATAATTAGTTACATTTTTATAAGTGAATAATTATGTGTATTTAGAACACTTGTGTACTTCTACACCAAAAGCTATTGGGCCAAGAACCAAGGCAACCTTTGTTTCCTGAAGCCAATATAGCAGCTACCTCTGCCCTGTTAATGGATCCTATTATTACAAAGAATGCATTTAGGAATGTGATGCCTAAATAAAGAGGTTATACTCTTATCTTAATTGCTAGGAGTGTAATATAAACCTTTTTGAAAGAGGATTGGGCAGTATCCAACTAACTTGTTCCATCAGCACAAGGAATTTTGCTTTTGCAACAGATCTCCCTCCCTCCCCACTTTCTTCTCCCCATGTGCCCTCTAAATCTGTTCTGGGTTTTTCTCTCCAGAGCGGATTTGGGGAGGATGTGGGACTATTAGAGAGGGTAAGTTTTGTTGCATAAGGAAAAATCCTAGTACTGATAGAAGAAGCTTGTTGGATACTGCCCATTGTCTCCAAACCAGATTTTCACAACTGAAATAAATTATTCCACCTAAAATAAATAGAATTAAGAATGGCACCAGAGCTCATGAATAGCATAGGTGTAAGGTCACGCAGGGGTCAGCAAACTTTTTCAGCAGGAGGCCAGTCCACTGTCCCCCAGACCTTGTGGGGGGCTGGACTATATTTTGAAGAAGAAGAAAAAAGAACAAATTCCTATGCCCCACAAATAACCCAGAGATGCATTTTAAATAAAAGGGCACATTCTGCTCATGTGAAAACACGCTGATTCCCGGACTGTCTGGGGGCTGGATTTAGAAGGCGATTGGGCCGGCTCTGGCTCCCAGGCCTTAGTTTGCCTACCCATGGGTTAGGGAATTTTTAAAGAATAGCCCCAATGCAAAGGGTTTGGTGATGGCACCTTGTCATTATTTTAGAGGAACATTTCCAAGGATATAGCTGGGGGGAAAATCAGGAATGTGAGAGTCTTCCAAATTAATTTTACATGTTTTAGCTAGAGAGTTGGTCCAACTGCTGTCAAAAGATGTTCTAGCAAAGTAGATTTGGAAAGCTGGGGACATTGTATACTATGGTCAAAGAAGGCAAATTTGTTAGAGATAACTTCCAGAAGCAACTAAACAGACTTATTTCGTGCAAACATCTTATCAAAACCTCTATTTTCACATATCACTTTATATGAATGCTTTGCTGGTCCTGCTAAAATTCTTTGGACTTGGTTTTTTCTTTTTTCTTTCTGTTTTCAAAATGCAGCTATTCCCCGCCCCCTCCACCCCATTTTAGGGATATTTGATTTTCGCACTTGAGTTTGTGGAGGCTACAAGATAAAATGTATCAATTGAAGTGCAGGTTTATAACAGTGCCTATTTGCTGTCTGCCTGTTTGCCAACCGTTGAGATCAGGGAGCCTTTAATGACCGCTTCATCTCCTTGAATCTAGGAATCTTGCCTCTCTATACTGTGACTTTTTTCAGTGCGTAATGTTTAAAATCCTGCCGGTGGCCTTTTATAACAATCAATTCTTTCATTTACTTTTTTTTTTGTTATCAGTTTTCAGTTTAGCCATTGTAACATTTCACTGTTTTTTTTTAAAGAAATGCTTTTCCCCTTCTCATTTGTTTTCTCCATTAACATTTCCATTGCTTATTTCTTGTGCCAGTGTACTGTGTCACCTCACCTAAGGAAGACAATAGGTATAGGGAGCCACCGCCCACCCCGCCAGGATATATGGGGATTTCCTTAGCGGACTTAAAGGAAGGATCACCTCACCACCCACACCTAAAACCTCCAGACTATAGTGTGGCGGTGCAGAGGTCAAAGATGCTGCATAGCAAGCTCTCTAGGCTCTCCTCCGCTCCTCTGAGTAGCGAACCAGTGGCTTGTTTTCCAAAGAAGATGCCTCAGTTGCATGGCCGACAGCCGTCCCATCCTAAGCTAGCAGATATGACTGACGCAAATAGTGAAGAGGATGGTATGTTGAAGATCTAATTTGACAGCTATTGAGTAAATTGGTGTGTGATTTGTAAGTGTGGCCAATGCACGAATTGTCTGACCTCACAAGGATCACCTTGAGTGTGCTTCAGTGATTCCCCCCCCCCCGCTTCTAAATCAATTGCACACGCTTTACAAGTGCACACTGTGAAATGAACGACTCTTTAAAAAATCCAGCACATTAATCACTATGTTCATAATTAACCAGCATGTGTCCAACAAATGCAATTATAAAGCCAGGTGCACAGAGTGGTCCACAGTTCTTGTCCCTGAAAGGCAGATGAAACTCTCCCAAAGAGCCTATAATATTTATTTTTGTGTATGTAACAGAAAGATGTTTCAGAATGAAATAAACCAAACTAGGTCTATGAAACTGCTAGTGCATACAAGCAACTTCTGTCTTGGTTAGGGGGAAACAGATGGGCCCCTGCCACATGGTGGCCATCTGTAAGCTCCTGTCATGTAGTAAGCTGGGCATTTCCTCCTGTACAGCTCTGTGGGGGTATAAGGCTCAATGTCCCACATATCCAGAATCAAGATATTACTGGCTGCCCAAGCAGCTGGAGCTGCAACGAAGTGCAGTTTAAAGTCGTGGCTGCACATTAAATGGCCATTAGTTTCCACCCTTACGTTTTTGAAGGGGATGCTATCAGACTGAAAACAGCTGAGACTTTAAATTGTAGTTTCAATTATTTACAAGCAAGAGTTGCAAACCTCACGAAATTGCTTAGTGGGCACAATCGAGCCCAAAGGGACCCACTAATTGGACCACACTGGTACTTTGCACTTGACCCCTTTCCCAACCTTTTTACACCTCAACAATCATCTCCTAAAGGGCTTAATTCCCCAAATCATGAAGATTTAAAAGGGGTCTAAAGTGAAGGTTTTGCTTGCTTCCCCTCCCCCCCCACTTTACCTAATGAAAACAGGCAACTTTGATTTTGCAATTTATTCCATTTGTTGTCCACTTTCTGTTGTCCACCACTCTTGGTTGTTTGGCACAATCCTCCCCCCCAATTTTTAATTGAATGCATGAATTGAAATTCCTCTTTGAGTGTGCTTTTACAAAATTAGAAATTTGGCACAAATTTGGCCTGGCATGCTCCCTTGAGTTGAGAAAGCTCTTAGTTGTGCTACATGCACAGTGCTGTGTTTCAGAAGAAGGGGAATGTTGGAGGGAAAGAAATGTATGTGTATATACATAGCAGTGTGGGATCATGTCCCTAATCTCTCAGATACTAAAGCACTCTAAAAATAGCACATTAGGATGCATTCCCTGGCTTCAAATTCAAAATAATCCATTATTTTATTGTTGTATTATAATTTTATCCCGCCCATATAGTTCTTTCCCCATCCAGGTGAGCCAGATGAGGCTCAGAGTGAGTGTGCATCAGTGACTGATGGGAAATTTGGATCCAGTCATCTCTGCACCATGCTGTGCCTCATTAAATGAGTCCCAGTCAAACTATGGCTGAGATCAAAATGCCTATGTTAGATGTACCCATGACTTGGGCATACGCAATGGGATTTTTAACTTTATGTTGAAACTCCCCATATTGGTCATTGTTTCCCCCATATGAAGTGCCCAGTCTCCAGACGTCTTTTGAATTTGTATTATGATTGAAAGCATCCATGCACACATTCTGTTGCTTGAGCACACACACAAAGCAGAGTTTTGTGTGTGTGCTCAAGCAGTAGCATGTGTGCCTTGTAGCTTATCTGAAGAGTATATAGTAAAGGAAGCTACTGGGGGGAAGAAGGCTGATAAGCAGTGATGTTTCCATAGGTCTAGCATACGCAGCTTCCCAAATCCTTTTAGAAAAAGAAAAAGAAATCACTGCATGACAGAAAGGACATGTAATATTTTGCTTAAGCTGACAGCATGTTTCTTTTCATTTTTGTTCACATGATCAAAAGAATTAAGGATGGCTGCAAGGGAGGATTTTGAATGCTTTGGAAATGCATGCCACTCATTTGATTTTGAGTCTGGGAAACCCGGTGGGGAGCAGCTTTCACGTTCAGAGTGGGTGTGGTCAGTGTATTGACTAAATGTGTTGCATGTTTATGGAACAGATGGTTTACTGTGTTTCTCTTGCTTCACAGAAGATGAACAAGTTTCAGCAGTCTAGCCTTTGCGCTGCCTGTGAAAATTGCCCCAAGTCACAGTAACATTGGAAGAAGGAATTGTACAATATTGTTAGCTGTAGCTGACAGCTTGCTGCTATTGACTTCAAATGTTGCATTTGCTTGTCTTCTGAATAATATGACGGACCTAATCTGGATCCTAATTTTGAACTTCTTTTGCTTCACTGCAATCAGCTTCACAGCCTAAGAAAACTATTTATATCTTGAGAGAGACAGACAACAATTTCTAAGGAATACTGACCCTGAATTGCAGAAAGCAGAATCCAGAAGGACCTCCCTTTTAACGAAGTGGGGCCAACTTGGAAACATTCTTCTGCAGGAAACCTGTAGACGCTTTTGGTAGACTTTGCTCAGATATTTTCTTTGTGACCGTTACGGCTCTCAATTGAAGAATGTTATTTTACGTGCTTACGGAACTGCCACACTTCAGCGAAACCAAGGATACATCTGCAGCAATCTGAAGAGTAATTTATTAATTTGGAGTTTATAATAAGGCTTTGGTTTGTTTGTTTGTTTGTTTATATGTGTATTAGAATGCTCTGGTTGGCTAATGTGAATGCTTTTACAAAGAAAATAAGGTAACAAATTATCTTGGTGTTAATGACATGTTTTATGCTAGCAAAACACCGTGGATTTCTGAGGAACTGGATGTCATGAGTGCAGCTAGAGGTTTACACACATTGCCACATAAACCTCTCTTGTAAAATGCCAAGCCCCGATGTGTGTATTGAGTGTGCTTTAATGTGCATAGTGTAGTGGAACACTGCCATCTGTTGGTCCTGTATTTTAAAACCGGTGAAGTACATGTGACCGCCGTCCTTTCAGCTATCAAATGAACAAGGAAGTACCTGTACCTGCAGTTCTTTTCTCTCCCACATTCCATTTTTTGCCCTTCCGTCGAATTGAATCATGCTGTGTGTGTTACGTTGTATTTACAGCGCAATCTCCTGTGAAGCCCATCCAGTGCAAGTCCCCTTGCAACAAATGGAAGAGGCTGCCAGGTCCTGAACTTTTGAGCTGCATCCAGTTCGCACTGGAGATGTGCCCGTCAAGTGATGCTCAGCTTGAGGTGTTCAAACAAGGAGAACCTTGGAAATTGAAACGAAACGTTAGGTTTTTGTTCTTCTCCTTAAAAAAACAAAGCTATATATGCACAATGCTGTGCTTGATTCTCAGGCCTCAGATTTACCTGGAAGCACCCCCCCCCCAGCACACTCTCCACTAGACTGAACTCATATGATCCTGGCTGAGCCTTCATATCTGGAAACGACTTTGAGGCTAAACCCCAGTGAGGCTTGCCGCCGGTTAAGCTCTGCACTTGAACTGTCAGCTTCCTTGCAACCACAATGTCTTAGAGAAAAACACAAAAGAGGGAAGGTGTTTAGAATTTCAGTCTTCGGGAACAAAAACTCATCACAAAATGTGTGGCCATCAATAACTTTGAATATTTGCACTGCAGACTACTGTATGCTTATCTTTCTGTCTTTGTGGCCAGGACTAAATTTAGTGTGCTTCAGCGTCCAGATTATTCCATATTCTACATCCTCACCCCCCAAAACCATTTTGAATACTTGAGGTATAGGGTCTTTACAAACGAGATAACCCACTCTTAGAGCGAACCTGTAAAGTGTAGCCTGTAATTTATTACCATCCATGGGAGTCCATAAATACTGCTCACTAATCTCCAATGCTGAGCACATTTGTGGTTAGTTTAGAATGAGAAACAGCTGGGGACTCGTGCCTTCAGTTGCTCTGGGATATGGAGGCACTTGGAAGCAGCTAGACTCTTTAACTCTCTCAAGTGTCTCAGAAACCTACTGTGACTGCAGAATCAAGCCCTTCCCCTTGTCCAAGGCTTCGGTGCAGGGCTACAAAGATGCTCAGTGACTTTGAAGCACTTCTGAAACCCAGGGGAACTGCAGGCACATCATCCCATCCTTTTATGGACCCTGAAAGTAGTTCTATTGTTGTGCTTTGGAGGTGCTCTGATGACCCAAGTTAGGGGAGGGGCAGTGTTGTTTGTGACCAAATCTTTGGAATTGTTATCAAGGCACCATCCTCCAAAACATGCAGACATCTGGCTGTATTAAATATAGTGTGTGTGTGTGTGTGTGTGTGTGTGTGTGTAGAAAGATAGATATATCTAAGTACATGCATATGTAGAACACACACACACACACACACAAGCTAAGGAACAAAGTAAGTCACTGTTTACAGTTAGGCTAAGCTGAGGTTGCAGCTTTGCTTTACTTAGCCAACCAGAGTACATGGAGAAGAACTGGAGTTCCCTGCATTTATTTTCTTCCTCTAGCAATTACCCAGTCAAACATTATAAATGGATGTATATTTCAGGTTTACCTGTAAATCCTAGTATCTTAAATGTTTACAATCTAAGCTAGAAGGAAGATGTTTGTCAGTTTTAAAGGTGCCTCAGAGTAACTTATTTTTTTACTGTTCAAGTTGTACTGAGCTTTCACGTTTTCTTTTGAGTCTGAGGCAGATGCAGAATCCAAACACATGTACCAAAAAACAAAATGTAACTCCCTAAGCCTTCTATATGCATGATCCATATTGACTTAGGGCAGTGAACCGGAGGGTGTTTGGACAAACCTATGCCATTTCTGGCAGCCCGCTGAGGTATTCCGTTGATGCCTTGTAACATGGAATTACAAACCAGAAAATAATAGGAGATGGAGAGGCTCTCTGATTCAACATTTAGTTGGCTAATCACATGTTAATACTCTAGCCTTAAGTATCTGAGAAAAGTAGCTGCGCAATCAGTCTGCTCTCTTTTCTTTGCCTCCAGGGCCTTAATGGGAGCGATCAACTTGTATGGGCCTTAATGAAATAATATCAAAACCTGACTCAAGTTGGCAGCCGTGATTTCTGCATATACGGCCATGTTGACGCAGGCACAGACCAACCCACAGTGACATTTTCTAGCACAAACCCCACTAGGAATTCCACATTATTGCAACTTCATCTGTTGAGTGAGACTTGTTTAAGATACCGTCTTGGTGGAAAGTGTACATTGGCCACAATCCATGAGTGCCATAGCAGAGGCGGGGAATAAGCACCTACGCAGCTAAATATCGGCGTTGGATCCAGATTAAGCCATTCTTTAGTCCTGCGGTGGGGAGCCTTATAGCTCTCCTGATAATGAACTGCAGTTCCCACCAACCTCAGCCAGCATGGCTTGTGGTCATAGGAGTTGCATTCTAGTGACTTTGGGAAGACCATAGCTTTCCCCAAGCCTGCTTAAGTCCCCTTAGGCATGATTAACTTAGTCTGGATCCAACCCACGGTGAAGTTTTTACGGTGAGTTTCACCCCCTAGAATGAGCAAGCTGCTATTCTGTTTAAGACTTCTGGTTTCCTGTTCAGCCAGCTGACCGCAGTGAAGAACCTCAATGCCTCTAGCTCTGCATAACATGCATAAAGTGCTAAGGATGCAACTATACTTGCCATTAAAAAGTTTGCAGACCTCAAGCCTTAGCTTCAGTTTTCATCTTAAGTATCAAGTAGTGCATAAGTGCTAACATAACTGCAAAAGTAATAGGGAATACTGATGTTTTGGGGCCAATAATATAATTTCTCAGTAACCTCAAATACTGTTTTAGCTTGCAGGAACAAAACTAAAGGATTAAGGCCTTCTCGCTTGAGGGTAATCCTTCTCCATTTGATAATCCTGATACTCCTTTCATTTACATTATTGACAAATCTTAAGGTCTGCTCACCTTGTCTGAAGATCATCGAACCAGCCATTTGATAACAACCACCCTCTTAAATTTGGTTTTTCCATATCTACAGCATCAGTAATACTCTTTTTTTATTTTTAAAAAAGTACATTGGTGTTCAAGCCACTGCACATCTTGTTAATCATGTTGTCCTATAGAGCCGATATAGTGTAAATATGCTCTGGGTAAATGAACTCTTTTGACTGCTTCCGATTTGCACAGTGTGAATTGCCTCAGTCTGTCCTTGCTCTGATCTTCATTTGTTTGTTTGCTTCCCGCCCCCCTTTTAATCAGCTGGTCACATTGATCAGGGACACTAGCCAAAATGGGTGGATACAAAGAGACAGAATCACCTTTTTTTAACCAGTTCACATGAAAACTTTTCTTAATCCTATTCTATGCTGTTTACATGACTTTAATTCTTAATGTTTATGAGTACATTGTTGGCATGTTCTGTGCTTTTGTCCCTTGCTATATAATTTCTAAGATCATGTGTTTGAAATGGCTGCCTCTTCTCTGCACATAACCTTTATTATTGTTTTTTTACAATATATTGTGAGGAAACGTGTCTCAAACCAAACAGGATATGTCCTTTAAAGCAGGAAAGTTTGGAAATCTGAAACATGGAACCAATGTCAACTTTTGCCTCCATGTGGTGACATGGGTAAGAAGGAGGGGGAAAGTCCTCCTCACGTGTAAGTAGACCAGTGAACTGTACATCATTTTAAGCTTGCCCGTTGAGTGCTATTTGATGCTGGGCTTATAATGTTGATGAACTACATTGTGGAAATGTGCATAATATTGGAGTAGAAAAAGTGTACTAGATGTACTGATGTTTTCCAATTTTGTAATTTTGAAGGTGCCCGTGTATTTATATGCACTCTGCTTACCCTGAGACACAGTGTCAACCTAAGGTAAACTAAAACATTGTGTTCTCACCTGAAGAGTCATTCTTTCTATGCTAAAGATGAGAGGACTTTGCACAGACACTAGTAGAGGTGGTGTTTACTTAGGCTTTTGAAATCACTTCTTAGGGCCTGATCCTACTGTGATTTGAAGTAAGAGGTGAGCTGCTCCTCTTTATTAGCTTGTCTGAGGAGGTAAAACCAGGACAAAAAGAAACCTGGCCCATTCAGCCATTCACTTATCAGCAACAGCACAGTTATAAGTCCCATATAATTGGCATTACATTAAATGTAATTTTAAAGAGGATATTACTTGCCTTCAAAGCTGATCGGGAAAATAGGGGTGATCCCTTGTTGATGAAAGCTTTTTAAATGCCAACAATATAAAAATCGAGTAGGAAACAAATTTGGCTCTGGTTCACCTCTCTTTTTTTGTCATTGTCTTGTCTTTTAATTTTTATATATATATACATGGAATGCAGTTTAGCTTGGTATTAATGACTTTTTGCATATGTGAGCATATGGGCAAAAACTGCACAGTTGTAATGGTATTCTGATAGCAATTGTAAAACTGCACAAGTCAGTGATTGTAAAGTATTCTGTAACAAGCAATGTTTGTCTTCTATTTTTTGATACCTCTTACACTTATGTCTTTTAGAAAGACAGTGCCTCTGTATGCTTTTTTTGTATTTTTACCGAGTGATTGTAAATATTTGTTATATTTTTGGTTAAGAGAATGTTTAAAAGTACTGTTTAATATCCAATCTACTAATGTTGTTGGAATCAATAAACGACTTACTTAATATGGATTATTGTGAATGGTTTCCTTCTATCTTCATATTCGCACTCACCCCAGGACTTATCCACTCACTTGGGAAACTGTGTCCAGCCTACTTCTGATACTGATTATCAATGCTGGGGTGTTTATAGAGGAAATCTCTCTTTTTGTTGTTTTTGCAGGCACTTAATACAGTGGGTGGAGAACTTCCAGATGTTGCTGCAGTACAGTTCCAACTTGACCATTGGCCAAACTGGCTGGGGCTGATGGGATTTGGAGCCCGTCATCATCTGGAGGGCCATGGGTTCCCTACCCTTAATATGTGCAATTGCTTCCTCTAGTCCAGACGGTCTTGGGCATATTTAATTTCATTGCAAGCAATAACTTGGGTGCAAAGGTAGTGGAAAACACTATGTACAGAAGGGCTATCTTTTTCTTTCCCTAGCAGAGGTGTGCCACATGAGAAAAGTGACCCTGGATCTAGAGAAGGCTTTTCACAAGCTCCTTATTCAAAACCTTTTCATAGTCCATTTGAGCTTGTATTCTACAGCTTTTCTGGCATGTTTCTCAAACTGTATCATAACCCCCCCCCCAATATCATGCAGCGGTAGGAGAAGTATTCTGGGTAAGAGTTCACAGAACAGCACTAATATATTTTCTCCTTCCACCCTGTTGGTTTGGACCAGAGCAATGAGTTTAAGCTGGCGCACCTGTGTCAAATTGTGATTATAGAGAGCAACCCTGTGCATCTTTACTGGCACTGAAGTCCCACTGCATTCAGTAGAGCGTAGTCAGGTAAGTGGGTTGAATCACAGCCTTCTTTAAAGGGGCCTACTTTAATATTAACAAACAAATAAGGATATTTTAATCATTCAACACCATTAGCCAGAAGCAATTACTTTAACCACAAGTAGTCACTTATCTGTGCAATATTTACTTCAAGCTACTGTTGTTTTGGGTGCTTGTTGACTCATTAACTTTTTTATTTTTATTTTTTAAAAATATTTCTATCATTTTGTTTGTAACCTGAAGTTTCCAGATTTGGCATGTTGAAATGGAAGATTTGGCCTAGAAAACGTTTACTACAACCTTCTGTGGTTAAAACCGATAACAAAGAGCGCACAATGTGTGCCAACTTATAAAATCTAAGATACAAAATTATTTGCTGCTGCAATATTCATACGCCACCAGAGGGCAGCATGGCACGTCATTTTCTCCACTCACTAATCAAGGCTGTAGCAAGAATGGCAGTAGCATGAATGGTCAATATGTTTTAGACAAGTACTTGTCAAAACATAACCTAATCCCTGAACTAGCTACAAGAATACACTGCAGCCTTCTGCATCTGACAAGATTCCTAGCCTTAGCCCCTGATTCAATAGGCGAGAATTTGGAGCATCTGTTGTACATAACAAAACAAGGAATAGGCCTGAGCTAAAATGGCCCCACATTTTGCCACCCTATTAGCGGGTGGAGATTTTGACAGGGTTCAGGGCGTGGCGAGGGAACTTATTCCTGACAGTGGAAGCGCTGCTTTTAGCGATCAGTGGGCAGCTGGCATTTCATTAAATTTGGTTTAAAATTACCCCCATAGCAGCTGCCATTTCTGTCCCAGATGCCCTGGATTAATTCTATGTCTGAGCCTGAGGTAGAGAACTCAAGGCCCTGGAGATGTTGCTGGACTATAACTCCCATCGCCACTGACCATTCTGATTGGGGTTGATGGGAGTTGGAGTCTATCATCATCTAGAGGGCTGCAGCCATATACTTTGGGATTCTCACAAGCAGAGCGCAAATGCTACAGCCATTCCCAGTTTGTCTCCAGCACCTGGAGTTCCAAAGTATCTTGCCATATACCTAGGGGTTCGATTTCCCGCTCCTCCACATGCAGCTGCTGGGTGACCTTCTCTGAAGTCTCTCAGCCCCACTCACCTCACAGAGTGTTTGTTGTGGGGGAGGAAGGGAAAGGAGAATTATAGCCGCTTTGAGACTCCTTTGGGTAGTGATAAAGCGAGATATCAAATCCAAACTCTTCTTCTTCTTCTGACCCCGCAGAACTCTTCTTATATTAAAGTACTAACATCCATGTACATTTCTCTATATCGTGATTTGCTGATCCCATGTTAAGAGAGAATCTTCCACTAAGTACTTTTGTGTCCTGTAGGGCTCAAAGAAAAGAGGGGGAACTTTTGGCAAAACTTGTTCAGGAGTACCAGAAAGCACCCCCCCTTGCTTTTTGTTTTCATGTATTTATAGCTGCAGTGACGGGACATCTGAATTTGCCCAATACTGATTCAGGATGTGTTGTCTCTCCTTCAACTGCCCTTGTGCTGTGAAATTTGGGACTAGACCCAGAGGGGAATTTGCCTGGAAGCAGCAGCTCTGAGGTGAAACATTGGCATCCTCCTAATTTAGGATTGTTCTGGAACCACTTTGGGCTCCTTTCGCTGAAAACCAAAGCATTACCGTATTTTTCGCTCTATAACACGCACCAGACCATAACACGCATGTAGTTTTTAGAGGAGGAAAACAAGAAAAAAAATATTCTAAATGAAACAGTGGATGTATGATTTTTGTGGTTCATGCTGTGGCCACAGACATGGGATCTGACAGTGAGTTTGGAGTAGCCCAATGCAAAAATCCTGAGGATCCATGTGGATCCATGCTTTGTAACCATGTTTTTGCACCACTGTGACCCTAGGCAACAGTGGGTGCGTGATTTTTTTGGTGCAAGATGTAGCCATGGACATGCTATGTGATCTGATGGTGAATTTGGGGTGACCCAATGCAAAAATCCTGAGGATCCATGTGGATCCGTGCTTTGTAACCACATTTTTGCACCATTGTGGCCCCAGGCCACAGTGGGTGTGTGGTTTTTTTGGTGCAGGCTGTAGCCATGGACATGCTATGTTATCTGATGGTGAATTTGGGGTGACCCAGTGCAAAGATCCTGTGGATCCATGCTTTGTAACCACGTTTTTGCACCATTGCAGCCCCAGGCAACAGTGGATGCGTGGTTTTTTTGGTACAGACTGTAGCCATGGACATGTAATGTGATCTGATGGTGAATTTGGGGTGACCCAATGCAAAAATCCTGAGGATCCATGTGGATCCGTGCTTTGTCACCACGTTTTAAATGGGGAGGGAAGGAAAAACACAGAAGGGACAAGAAGTACAAGAGGGGTGTGCAGAGAAGCAGCTGGCTAAGAATGCAGGGGAGGAGTTTAACGGGGTGGGGGGGAGGAAAGGAAGGCAAAAGTCCCCCCCCCAAGCCAGCCCTCTCTCTCTCTCTCCCACTTGCATGTTTTTCGGCTGCCTGCGAGTCCCTAGAGCACGGAGAGGAGGAGGAGGTGGGCTGGAGCCTGCACGCAGTGTGACTAGGAAAGAATTAGAAGGAAGGACTCGATCCTTTCCTTAACCCTCTGCTTGCCAGGAGGGCAGGGGATTCCCTGCTCTTTGCTGAGTCTGAGCAAACGCAGCAACAGAAGCGGGTGGGCAGTAAGACCCTGAGGCAGAATGCAGGAAAGCAGCAGCTTCCGCCTTCCCTCCGCCCGCCCGCCGCCCGATCTTATTTTTGCCTGATTTTTGCCTATTTTTGCCCCGGCGAGTCAGCTCCAGGGGCCACACATTCGCTCAATAACACGCACAGACATTTCCCCATACTTTTTAGGAGAAAAAATCTGCGTGTTATAGAGCGAAATTTACGGTAAATATTGGCTTGTATGTTGGTGCAGTGTTCCATTAGTGCAAGGTCGTCTTCCCTGTAACAGGCCTTTTCTCTCCTTCCCATCTCATGCCCCAATGGTTCTGGCAGTTGCCCCACCACAGAGCACATCTGTGGGGACTCTCATGGAGAAGAGAGAGAGGAAGTCTCATTGTGCATGTGGAAGTCCTACGCGCTAATAAGATGGTACAACTATGTTGAATCCGGCCCATTTGTTGAACTCCGGTGTAGCTTTCGGTGGTGGACAGGCCTAATACGAGGCCTAAGATCTGCACTTTTAGTTCTTCAACAGAGCCAGATTGGGCAGCTGCTCAGAGTTTCCTAAATCATTCTCTTTCCGACCGATTCAATATGCAGATGGACTGTTGCTAAAGTAGCTGCCATTTAGTCAATAACCTCAAGCGTTGTATAACAGTTTTTCCTCTCTACAGTTCACAGGGAAGGAACAATTTAATGGCTCATTGGGATTACTTTGTCAACTAATGGCTCAGGCAGCATCTTTCATGTCCTGATTTTGGCTAATGGTGAACTAATTCGCTGAACTTCTCTTGATCTAAAAAGTCTAATCAACCAAGGCGGGGCGTAAATTCTCTTTTCATCTTGTTTGGCCTCATAGTGCTTCCTCGCCCCCTCCCTTTGAAAGCAGAGATGTTGTCTTACATGAAAGTCTGTGTGTTTATATGCCCTGAATTCTCAGCATGAGAACAAAATACATTCTCTGGAGTGGAGCGGTGGAGAAAGGGGCAGTTGAGATGATCAAGGGGCTGGAGTAACTCCTCTGTGAGAAACAATTGGGGCTTTGGCTTAGTTTAGAACAGGGGTCAGCAAAATTTTTCAGCAGGGGGCCGGTCCACTGTCCATCAGCCCTTGTGGGGGGCCGGACTATATTTTGAAAAAAAAATATTTTCTCCCACAAATAACCCAGAGAAGCATTTAAAATAAAAGGACACATTCTACTCCTGTAAAAACACCAGGCAGGCCCCACAAATAAATAAAATCATTTGTATGCTACTGTTTTAGGCATACCCACCCAGAGTGGATCACAGCACCATAAAAGAGTATATTTATATAGTGCTTTTTTATGGGGGGATGCAGGGGGACATACCCCTAAACATTTTGTTAATCTTTGTACCTTTGTCCATTTACTGTATTTATTTTCCCCGATTTTAACTATAAAAAGTTGTTTTTCTTGAGTCAAAATGAGAGTACCCCTAAACACACACATGCACACGCGCGCGAGAGAGATAACTTATATATGAGATATAACATAACAACAACAGCAGTTTAAACAATATTTTAAAAGCTTG